ACTGAACATTTGCACTACAATTTCTTTGATTCCAATTTTTCTTATGAAAATTATCTCTCATGCAAAAATATTGTCATCCAATTTTATACGTTTGACCACCCATTAAAGAAACTATTCATTGTTGTCAAAGTAAGTTGCCGCAACTCGTTTTTTTTCTTCTCGTATGTTTGTTTTTTAAAAAAAATGAGAGATCAAAATGAGATCACATTGTTGTCGTGAAGTATATCCAGACATAGTATATAGTATGTACAGATATAAAGAGATTGGTTTTAGTAAATGTTTTGCAAAAGGATTAAATTCAAATTTGTCAACCTTAAAGCCTTATTTAGGTAAATTCAGTTCCATGAAGAAGAAAAAAAGTAAATAAACACAAAAAAATTAATTTGGATATTCAGACCATGAAATTGTAAGCTGCCATGAGAATGAAGGAAACAAACATAGTTTATAGTAATACAAATGCAAGTGTGGTCCATTAATAATTGAATTCCAAACAAGGTTACCGCCTCTTACCTTTTTTTTTCTTCTCCTTTATGCTATGTGTGTCTATATCTGCTTACTTATCTTTCCTCCCTTTTTAAAATGCATCATAAGTATGAATCATATTAAGAAGATGAAGAAGAAGGTAACATGTAATTTTCACTCAATTATTATCATCCATCAGCTCACAAATTTTCATTTGCTTAGTCTTCTTAATCTTATTTCCGATAGAAGCATCAAAAGTATAGCCTGTATGTGAAACTATCGACACCGTGTTATTAAAAAGATTTTAAAGGACTTCCCTAAAGGAAACTCATCACATCATTTCCATTCTTCAAATATTTGTTTTATCTTTCTCCACACTCAATCATAGTCATTAACGACCATCATCATCAACTTAAAGGTAGAGAGTTCTTGGGTTATCTAAGCATATTCATTTTCATTTTATTACCTGAGAAATTTTGCCTCTAATGTACTTTTTTTTGTGGACACAAATTTAATTATTGTCCTAAAACTTTAATGATACTAAGACTGAAGAAGGTTGAGTCTTCCTTTGAACTGCTTTGAGCCTAATCATATTCACATCCAGAAACCTTTAGAGAACTAATTTAGAATCACCATTAAGTTCCTGTAAGGTAGCAGTTCTACAAATACTTCAAGGATCGCAAAGGTTTTAATGACAAGAATTGAAAAAGGAACAGCAGTAATGTCCAATAGCCTCGATACTCAAAAGGAGATTTCAACTAATTAGGTCTCAAGGCTAGCAAAATTTTGATTGCAGCCTAAGTTTTACATAGGAAAATAGTTGCAGGAAGTAATTATTCTGATAATTTAGAATATTTGCCCAAAATTTCAGCAACAGACCATATCGAATTTCTCTTCCGATTTTTATTCTTCTTCTCCTTAGTCCTTTTCCTATTCCAATGAGTAATATCCTCCTCACATTTCATTGTCGAGAATTTTAAAGCATTCCAAAAAACAAAAATCTACCGCCAACTGACTCCAGAAACATTAAAATTTCAACATGACGACATGCACAAAAAAAACACTTGAGTTCAGTTTTGTTGCAAAAACACAATGGGAGGCCACAGAAGAAAGGAAAATCAAGTGCCTTCTTAATGTATTTTATTTTTAATTCATTCATAAAATAAAAAAATTTAAATAAGTTTTTTTATAACTGTTATAAGAGAGAAACAAAAAACCAACCATTATGAATCCCTGAATGTTTTCATTACACCACTTTAATGATTATTCAAGTGGTTTATACTTTAGACTTTTAACAGAAGAATAATAAATATTGGAACTGATAAAAATTTAATTTCATTTTAAAAGTTTTCGATTTTTATTCCATATCCATATGTATGAAAATTATTTTCAATAAAAACAGTTGAGGAGCTTGATGAGAGACCACACAAAATGTGGAAAAATGTTTACGCAATTTAAAACCAGAGTTTCACTAGGAATCGATTGCTCTGTCGATCATGCTGTGATTTTTTAATGCATTTCTTTAAAGGAAATATGAGAAAAAAATGTAATTCGATTCTAAGTTCTGCTTTTCCTCGCATTTTCTGCTTGTAAATGCCAAAAAAGTGAGTGTGACTGTAAGAATATTGTTTTTTAGACATGACCACCTAAGTTAGCTCTTGGTGATTGATTTTATTTCATACTTATGCCACAAATATTTTCTGAAGAAAATTATATAAAATTCTTCGGCTGAAATTTCAATCATACAGTGTAACCAAAAACATCCATAAAGATACTCAAGTCAAAAAAATCTGTGTTAATTACAAACTCATCAATTATATACAATTTTCATTACTCAAATCTATATTCACAAACCACACATATCTCTTAAAACATCTTTATTATCATTTATCCTATAATAATCTGCAAAATGTGTAACTTAAAATTTTTATTTGAATTATTACAGAAATATACAGGGTGACTAATTTGAATTATTACAGAAATACACAGGGTGACTAATTTGAATTATTACAGAAATATACAGGGTGACTAATAATTTTGTTTATTCAAAACAGCAGCATGTTTACAGTATAAATCTTCTTCGATTTGCATTCGAAGTTTCAATCATTATGTGATGATGATGATTTACTACGGACAAAATCTTAAATAATCAAAATTTATTAAAAATTGAAATGTTGGTGTGAATATGATATTATGTCACAGCATTTGCAAGTGTTGCGATTATGTCAAGAGAGAGAGAGGAAGAGAGCAAAACTGGTTTTTTTTTCTTCCGCAAATATGCATCTGTAAAGTTACTTTCTCACATGATTATTCATTTCATCTACATCCAACATATGTTTAATATTTTTCGTGCTCTTGTACCATGACTGACTTATTTTTTTTCATCTTTGTTTGCTATGCCATAAACAATAACATGATCTATATTTTGTACCTTTTTGTTGCTTCAATTACGTCATTTTGGCATTTTTTGCATGAAGTCAAATCAAAGAGCTATTGGAAGTTTTAAAATCATCAAAATTAGCCTTGACGATGACTAGCATAGCAAGGGATGTCTTGATCTTTAGAACTTATTGATGAGTGTAGACGATTTTTTATAAACCTCATTTTATGGAACCAAATGTTAAAAATTGAACAATAAAAAATTACCAAGAAGTATATCCAAAGAAGATGAGTTAAATTCTTTTAATTTTCATGCTCCCATAACTCAAAAAAGATTCGTAAGATCGCAGAAGTTTATTTTTGCACTTTCACTTTTATGCCGGCTCACAAGCGAGAAGAAACAAAATACCATATACATGCAAAGCTAAAGGTACGATGACTCATCATGAGACGACGCTTAACGAATGAAAATAAAAATAAATAAAATCATTATTATTTAGCGTCTTGATTAACATTCAGTCAGTGAAATGACTATTGCATAATTTCTCGATCGTATTGAGCAGTATTGAGCGTCGTCATCGAATATTACGAGTTGACTTTTTTTATTTTGTTTTGTTTCGCAAATTCATCGAACTGTGATATTGTCTATATTTACCCGACTGACATATATGAATTCAATGTATTTGCTATTATCTATGTGATATATATTTCTTGGAAGTTACTGATCATTGATCTGAAGATTCATCAGTTTTGTCTTTAAATCCGAATGAATTATAGTCATTGGAACTGTTCATGGTTAAGTTGTCTATAAGCATGCTATTATGATCATGGAAAATCCCATATTACTGCATACATGTGCAGACACTGTAGAAAATCCCAAAGCAAAAGGATTGCACAATAAAAATCGAGCAATCTTTATAAGAATTCTTTTGCGCACCTATTGCATACTTTTTCATTTCTCTTTCGTTGAGTTTTTATTATTTTTGATATTACATGAATATGCCGGAGCCGGATAGACAAGAGCACAACTGAATTTGCTGCAAATGCCTTGACCCAAGCTAAATAGTTATTTTGTATTAAGTAATGCTTCACGGGTTTTCCAGTTTTATTGTAATATGCGTTAATAGTAAGACATTTCTTTCTTGGGTTTTTCATCTCTTTCTTAACTTTTTTGAGAATTGAGATTGAGAGCATTAATGCTACCTTTATGTGTATTATGTCTATTAAAATTGCAAGTTCTTTGTTATTCGTTTAATCCGGTTCAACTGAAGGTTCATTAACATTTGGAATCGGTTACTTATGACAACATAAAGGTGATTCTTAAGCTATAGCTGTTGATTTTTGAATAACTTCTAATTGTTTCTAATACTTTTTGGGAAGACGATGTTTTGAGTCATAGAAAATATTGTGATAAGGATGAGTAAAAGATTCTTCAAGAAAAGTGTTGAATTAATGACCTTCAACTCCTTAAGTCTTACCAAATATCAACATCCAAAAATAAAAAGAATTTTTCATTCCAAAAATACATAAGTAATGTGGACCATGCTTAACATTTCCCACATTAATAAACACAAAATCCTGTTTATGTTTATTTTAAAATTACTTAATTCTCGTGCCACAACAACAACAACAACCACCAAGAGACGACAAAAATAGTCGGTAATAAATGATGTCATAAAAGAAGTTGTAATGTAAAGTAACTTGAAGAGAAAGTGAGAAAGAATAATAATATTGTAATTCGTGGTTGTAAAAACATAAGATTTTTTTTTTTTTTTCGTTAGTATCAAGCTTGAGGAAGTGCATTTAACGTTCAATTGTCATTCATGAGATAAAGAAAATTATGTGCTTTTTTTTCTCAGGTCTGCTCCTACAAGCCATAAGCCGCAATAGCAATAACAACAAAATTATTGCAACAAAAGTGTGAGTATGATTTTCTTTCCCTAACAGACAAAGAGCATGCTCGCAATGAGTATGCTCACTTAAATGTACTGACTGAGTTAACTCGTGAGCATACTCAGCTAATATATTTTAGTGAGCATACTCATTGAGAGCATGCTCTTTGTCTGTTAGGGTTTAAAAGAGAAATGAAATGAAAAAAAAGGTATCAAGACTACACGAAAGAAAAAAAAACTGTTTTTGGGTGGGATATTATAAATTCGCGGCATTTTTGAGTCTTAAGCTCAGTCTTCATCTAAAAGTGTACTTTCGCGTATCGCCTAAGAAATATAAAAATAAAATATTAGTCTAGATAAAAGTTATACAATATAAGTTATTATCTCATAGGATCAAGCATTAAAAAAAATTATTAAGGTGAGAAAATTGTGATGTTGATCAGTGAATGCGCCAGTAAAAAATAAGAAGAAGAATTCAGAAAAAGACTATGAAAGAAAAAGTTAATTTTATGAAAATTAGTGAAAATAATATTCTGATTTGAAAATGTGCATATTTAAAATTAATATTATTATTATTGCAACAATTGTCTGAATATAATTGACTTTCTTATTTTGTTCGTTACGATATTGTGATCATCATGATGATATCATTTTGTGGAAAATTTTTATTACATATTGACTTCAAATTACTTGTGGGGGGGGGTCCTCAGTTTGAATTAAATTCTGATTTGAGAACAAAAAACTCAAAAATGTTCTTTAATAAAAATTCAGAACTAGACTAAAATCTGCCATCAGCAAAATACTTATATAAATCATTATCCCCCCGTACTCGTAGCCTATTAAATTTTAAAGAAGACAAAAAATGAAAAGAAAGCGAGAGTGATTTTACGAGCTGTTACGAAAAAGGCATTACTTGCTATTAGATCATCAGAAATTTCCATTTCTTTTGCAATAGTTTGCAAAAATGAGTATATGACTAAAAATTCCACCTACGCTGAACCTATTGTCACCATAAAAAATAAGACAATTTTCACTTTTTTATTTACAGATGAAATTACAATTGCTGCTTTTTTGCAGTTCTTTTATGATATCATTAAGTACTGTCCATTGTGAAAACAGTGATGTACGACAAGGACGTGTTTTAAATCGAAGATATGAAGATCCTTATATTGAGAAGCAATTAGTTCAAGAATATTCACAAGCTTCGTATGCAAATGCAACTGAAACGACTGCTGATGATGTAATAGAAGAAATTATCAGTTCTAGTAGACAAGGCAGAAATATTGAAGGATTAGATGATATTTATAGCGATTCAACTATTAAGCAAGCTCTTGATACGGGCAACGAAATTGAGGCAAGAAACTTAATTCGTGATAAATTGTGTGACTTGGGTCTTATGCAATGTGACGAAGTCGTACATGGAAAAAGACCAGGATTTCCCACACGAGTTATATATTCACAACCACCACCTGGTGCCATTTACAATAACAGACCACCCCCACCAAATCACATTCCTAGACCACCAAATAATTTTCCTCAAGTGCCAATTAAAGGAATTTATGGACCACCTAAGCCAATGCCTTATCCACCTGTTAATCAGCCTCAACAACCACCAAGAAAAGTTGGATATGAATTAAATGCTTATGAATCAAAGCCTGTTATAGCTCAGGATAAGTATACAAATGCAAATTCATTTTATGAGTTTGAGCAAAGCCCATCACAAATTAAATTTGGATATACTGAAAAGCCAACGATTGTTGTTAATCAAGGAAAAAGAGAAGCTGCTGGAGTTCAACAAAATCATCATATTCATCATCATTATGTCCATGTCGATGGAAATGGGAATACTGGAGGCTTAGTTGATGGAAGTAAAACAGTTTTAGTCAATACTCCAATTTCTGAATATTCAGCTGTTAATCAACTTTCATCGTCATACCAAACTTCTGGTTTTGGAGCTACTGGTGCATCTTCAAATTTCAATGGTGGATTTACTCCTATGAATACTCTCGATTATAAAGGTGTCAACTCTGGAAATACTGGAATCTATTCTGCAAACTCTGTAAAGCCCGTTTATGAATCAAATTATGCTAGTGGCTCAAACTTTGATAAGTATCAGCAAACATCAGGTCCAGCCGTCTATACAGAAGGAACAAATGGAATTTACAACAGTGGATACAAAGCACCAGCTGTCTTTACAGAAGGAACTAACGGAATTTACAACAGTGGGTATAAAGCTCAAGCTACAGAAGGAACCAGTGGAATTTATAACAGTGGATATAATAATAATAATGGAGCCCAACAGAGTTTCCACTCATCAGCACCAGATTTCTATAAGAAAGAATTAAATCTTAATCGAGGAAGTCAATATTCAAGTGGAAATGGATATACTCAACAACAGCAGTTAAATCAAAATAATTTATACAGTTCACAAAAACAACAGCAGCAACAGCTTTACAGCAAAAATCAATATAACAATATCGGAGAACAATACCAAGGACTTGAAACAGCACAACAAAATCAATATGACTGTGTCTGTGTTCCTTTCGATCAATGCCCAGCTCAAGACGTTGTTGGCAGACGCGATGATTTAATTTTGCCTTTAGATCCACGTAATTTACCAAGTGAAATTGAAGCTGATCATGACAATTCGACTTTAAAGGCTGAAATTACCTTTAATAACTCGACATCAACTGAAGTGAAGAAAATTTCCAAGCGTGACGTCGAGAAAGTTCAGGGCGAAGGTGTAAGTATAAAACTATAAATAGAAGTATAAAACGACTCACTTTAGCGTAAAATTAACTCAAGTCTTTAACAATTCATACAAAGATGATTATATAACTCCTTTAGTGACTATACAGACATGTCGTTGACTTTACTCTCTGACACAAATATGGGGAGATATACAGAGAAAAACACGGTCAACGCATTTCAATTGAAATCTCTTTCTTTCTGTCTTGTTACTTAATATTATTTAATTATGATTGCTTTTTGTTAATTTTCTTGCTTCTTAAAAAAATGTAATACAAAAAAAATTATCCACTAAAGGTATTAGACAGGTAGTAATAGCATAAGAAAAAGGCACACTAAAACAATACAATTAAAACATAAATAAAAACACAGGAAATAAATTTGAATGGAGCATGAGATAAATATTAAGATGAGTATGAGAGAAGTTATTACTAATAGTGAAAATAACCGGATGTGCTACTCTAACCATTCACTTTTAATTGTATTGTTTTTACTGATGTCATTTTATTATGCTATAGCGCCTGTTTGGATCACATGCTGTTGGGGGAGGGGGAGGGGGTTATTACCCAGGTGGTGGATATCCAGGTGGGAAGAAAATTTTACCTACATTAGGAGTATCATTTGGTCTTCCTTTCCCTACAAGTCATTATCCTATATCACCCTATGCACCTCACGCGCCAAATGCTCATTTTGGTGCAATTAGTCCAAATGGAATTAATTTGGGTCTTTTAAATGTCAATCCTTTGTTTAGTTTACAAGTGACTAAAAATGAAATTGGCGAGAAACTTGTCAAGCCTTTTGTAAACTTACACGTTACACCAAATGAGAATATAATTGGAAAAATTGGAGCTGGTATTGGAGGATTATTCCATGCCAAAAAAGGTGCAATAAATAATCATTATCATCATCATTTACATCGCTATCCACCACCTCCGCCACAACCTTATTTGGATCATCATCCTGGTCATCATCATTCAGAGTTTCCACACGAAGTACATCCACAAATTGGCGATATTCCACATATTGGTCACCCGCCTTATTTGTCTCATCCACCACCCCCTCATTTTGAAAATGGACCGATTTTTGATAGACCCCATGGACCGATATTTGAAAAACCCCATGGACCGATATTCGATAGACCCCATGGATCCCCACATATTTTTTCAGAACCACCCCCACCTTACTTTAAAGATAATAGATTCGGTCGTGAATTGATCGTTGATGATATATCAACAAATCCTAATTTATTAGGCTTCAGAAGCAACAACATTTCAATTAATAGCGATTATAGCTATCAATCTCTATATCCACAAAATCATCCAAATAATTTGAATTTCCCTAAAGACGAGTTTACATACGCACGAGCCTATTCAAACCAATTTGATCAAAATGAATTTAAATCAAATAATGTTCATTCTATCCCAACACAGGCACCAGGTATTGCTGAAGGAAGCGAAAAAGTTTCATTCCCAACAAGCAGACGTAGACGTGATACAGATCAAAAGGTACCAGCATCAATTGAAAAGAAGGTGAGCAGTGAAGGAGAAGCTGAAGAAAATCTCTCAAGTGAAAATGATTCCGAGGGTCGTGCTTTAAATGGTAAAAGACAAGCTTATTATCAACCTCAATATCCTCAACAACAACCTCAGCAGAAGCAATGCGGTCCACGTGCAGTATGTTGTCGTAAACCTTTCAAGGCTCCACCACAACAGATTCAGTACAATAAATGTGGTGTAAGAAATACAAATGGAATTACTGGAAGAATTAAGAATCCTTCATACATTGATGGTGACTCAGAATTTGGTGAATGGCCTTGGTATGCATTTACAGAGAATATTATTCATAATCATAGATTTTTAATTATTTTTATGTTTACAGGCAAGCAGCAATTTTGAAGAAAGATCCAAAAGAATCAGTTTATGTCTGTGGTGGAACTTTGATTTCTGACAGTTATATCGTAACAGCTGCGCATTGTGTCAAGACTTATAGTGGATTCGATTTGAGAGTAAGACTTGGAGAATGGGATGTAAATCATGATGTAGAATTCTATCCATATGTTGAAAGAGATGTCATTTCTGTGCATGTACATCCTGAATATTATGCTGGTACATTGGACAATGATCTCGCTATTTTGAAACTTAGTGCACCAGTTGATTTAAGCACCAATCCACATGTCACACCAGCATGTCTTCCTGATAAATTTACCGACTTCTCAAGACAACGATGCTGGTAAGTTTAATGCTTAAAAAAATTATGAATACATGAAAATTTTACAATCCAACAATTTCTCAGGACAACTGGATGGGGTAAGGACAATTGGGAATATGGCAAGTACCAGAATATCCTTAAAGAAGTTGATGTTCCAATCATTGAACAAAACACATGTCAAAATCAATTGAGACAAACTAGATTAGGTCATAGCTATGTTCTTAATCCAGGATTTATCTGTGCTGGTGGAGAAGAAGGCAAAGATGCATGCAAAGGAGATGGAGGTTTGCAAAAATAATAATTGATGTCTATAACATGATATTCATATCATAATTTATTCCTATTAGGTGGTCCACTTGTTTGCGAAAGAAATGGAGTCTGGCAGTTGGTCGGTGCTGTTTCATGGGGTATTGGATGTGGTCAACCAAATGTGCCTGGAGTTTATGTTAGAATTTCTCATTATCTCAACTGGATAAATCAAATAACACAAAGATATTAAGTTATTAATTAAGATTAAAATTATTCAGACGAAGGAAGAATAGCATTTAAGCTACAAATTATAGTAATTATAATCAATGTATTCAGATGACATATGATAGGTCTGGATAGAAGAGTATATGCAAATATTGCATTAACTATAATTTTCCTTGTGAGACTCATCTTTTAATTTAAAAATTTAATTTATTTTTCCCCCAACTTAATTTAATAAAATAAAAATCCATTGGATATATTTCATTCTAAAAATTCTAGTTTTATTAATTAATCTATAGATCTAAACCTTTGTATAATTTTTGAGAAGCTGGTTTGCCTATATTCATGGGAATCGTTATATTTGGCGTTTCACCCTCCTTTGCTAATTTATAGAATTTATTATGTCCTCGTTTCAGGAAAACATCAAGCTTAATATCTTTGTTCCCAGTTTCCTTAATCAGAAACTCTTTTAGTAAAGGTGGAAATTCCATTTTTGGATCAATCAGCTTAATATTTTCATGTTCTGTTGTCTGGACTTTACAGTAATCTGCTTCCTCCTTTTTTGATAAAAGCCTATAGTCTGTTTTATATGAAGCACCTTCTATCCAAACAGGCTTGTCATACTTCCTTCCACGAAATACTTTCTCAACAAGAACTCTTATTTTTCTATTTTCCTAATAAATATTAAGAATGGAATTAAAAATTGAATATTATATTATCAACTAAAATAGAATCTCACCTCATTTGGAAGTGTCTCAACTTGAAGAACTCGCATGAAACTTTTCTCTGGATATCTCTCCATCATTGAACGAACTATAAATATCATAATTAGAGTCGAATTTGTATTTTGTGTAATTTACTAACCAACAACACGATTTTCTCCAAAATTTTTCAAGTTTCCAAGAATTTCCCATAATGATTTTCCTTTAAAATCTGTTTTCCTGCCAATAAGCTTGATCGCTGACATGTTTCGATAGTTCCTTTGCCTTTAAAATGCTTCAAATTTAATTAAATCGAGATTTTTAAGGAATCAAAAATTCTTATTTATAAAGTCAACTTCACATGTAAATAAAAGCTACACAAGCCGCATTGTTTGAATTTATTTTAACCGTTAAAGATTTTTCATTTGGCTTGGTCTAAAATGCAGCATAAAGGAAAAACAATGGAAAAGAAAATTGCGTAGCTGATGAAAAGAAATACCGAAAAAATAACAATGAAAGAAAAGAGGGCAAAAGCATAAAATAAATAAACATAAAAACGAAAAAAAGGGAGAATTTTGCTGCTTGCGTCTGCTTATTATGTGCAGACCTATGAGAATCATATGAGCACGAAAAAAGTCATGATATCATACAGGCAGTGAGAAAATGTAACGGCGCAAAAATGTTTTTTCTTTCAGTTTATTTTGGTTTGTCCAAGAGATTGAATCTAAAAAAATAAAGCTCTTATCAGCTTCGACGGCAATAAAGATATAATATAGTTCAACAAACGGATATTAGAATATTTTTTTTCGCAATTTTTGTGATTTTAAGGTGTGTATGCACGACAACATGGGAAAACATAAATTAAATTAAATATAATAAAAAAGTTCTAGCTTCATAGGATTGTTATGTGCAAAAGTTTGTTTTTGTTTTACTGCATTGATAGGCGTTAGATATGAAAAAAGTAAAATTGAAAGTGAATTAAATGTCACTTGTGTCTATAAGTGGCAGATAAGATTACATTGAGGTATTCGTTTTGTTTGAAAATAAAAAATTCCGTTGTCAAAATGATAAATTAAATTAAGAAAATGAAAAATGGAAATATTTATTGCGTTGGGGCATCATCTCGAGAGAGGAGAAAAATTGTTGAGATACTGTTAGAGATCAATACTGCACATGCGTATATTGGGGCTCAACAATGCTTTCATATTATCAACTTTTTTCTTCTCCTTTCTCAATGCACTTCCTTAATTATCTCAAGGAAGAACAGGTTGAGAGCATCATCAAGCACTGCCTCAATACATTTCCTCATTTCACAAAAAAAAGAGGCGAGTGCTAAAGTGTAAACCGTTTAAACAAATAGCTCTTTAATTTATTATTATCTTGTAACATCATCGCCTCTACTAAACGATTAGTGAAGCGCTAGTTGGTAAATATTACTATTACACAATCATTGTGTACTGACTGATTTTTTTTGAACTATAGTGGCGATGAAACTTGGTTTTGAAAAATTCGGTTTTAATAAATTTTGATATTTTTATAATTTTTATGAGAGGGGGGGGGGGATGTTGAAAATTTGGTTGAAATTTCAAGCATTCAGTTTGATTGAATCCCAAAATAATTTATCAAACTCGAGACTCCCCAAAATAAAGCGAGAGAAATGAAGAAACATGACGATGATTTGTAAACGATAAAAATAACAATGGTGTAATTTGAGATGATATTAAATGAATACAAATCGCTTCTATCGCATGCCCATAAACATAGCTCATAGCTTGTTCAATTATCAAATCTTAATCAAAATCAATTGTCTATGTTAAAATCGAGGGAGTTTAAATATTTCCATAAAATTAAATAGCTTTTCTCTCCGAATAAAATAATATTTTTATGATGTTCTCATTGTTTTTTCCTCTCCGGAAGCAGTCTTCATTTGCGGGTGACACAAGATATAAATTTAAATATTCTATTATTTACTATCTACGTTCTGCATACAAGTAAATTTTGTTATTTTTTTTCTTTTGGCCTTTACTTCTGTCGTTGAGACTTTGACATTTAAATTTTAATAATAATTTATTTCAATCATTCGCAAATTCATCAGTTAATTTATAAAGTTAAGACTTGAAGTCATGATCTTTTAAGTAAATATATTAAATTGCTTTTGTTGTAACATACAGATTGAATTTCATATTAAAAAGCGGTTTATAAAATAATAGAAAAGCCTTGGCATGATATTAGATGAAATTCATAGCCTGTAGGCATGTTAGAGACAGTCTGTAATGTTAAAAGTTGAGCCTTGTTCACTTCTACAAAAGATAATTTGAATATAAAAATGCCTATGTGTGGAATGTCTACATCTTCATACCCCACCTCTTTTGCCTTAATTTTGGACATCACATATAAACGACTCCAGCGGACATAAAGCAAAAATATCACATCTATTTGATTTATTATTTTACAATCAGTGTAAAATCAAAAAGTTATCTTCCTTGCCATATCAAATTGATGTATGCTTCAACTTTTTGTGATACATTAAAAATGTAATAATAATCGATAAAAACAAACACATAAAGCATGACGATAACAAGGCATAGCACTTGAGGAATGTAATAAATTTTATTCTATACTTAATTGCAATGAGGATATGAGTATGTTCGCTGGTCGAGAGCAAATGAAAGAGTTTTTAGATATATGACATCATGAGAGTGCCGAATAGATTAAGAAAACAAAATTGTGTATTTTTGCCGATGAGATGAATAGAAACATATGATGATGATGATGCTTTGCAAATAAAATTCAGATGAATGTAAAGAGAGAATTAACAAAAAAAATCTATTGCCATATGATGCTATTAATAGTCAGTTATTAAGTTAACGCCGCTGATTTTTGACCTTCAACACATATTAGCAATTAAAGCACCTCCAATGAGAACATCTTTTATATAAAGGAACAAAAGAGAAGTGTCAGGAATAATTGAATAAAAAGTATCAAATGGCATGCGATTGTAAAGGAAAATTGATCGATAAATGGCACTTTGTAAAAGTTCGATTGTATTTGATGTCCAAGTCTGCGATTTGCTGACACACCTTATGATTATATGAATGACAAAGACTAAAGGGGGTCTAAAAACTCTTTCATTACAGCACGTCATTCACGAACGATCCAACTAGTTCTGAGCTTTAAGCACTCAATATTGATTTGACATAACAATATACCGTGCTTAACAGTTGAAAGCCTATAAATTAAGAAGGGTTGGGCGGAAATAGTAGCACAACAAAATGTTTATTCTTTATATGCTTTTAAGGAGTGCGAGCTTTTCCATCAACAAACTAAAGCAAAAAAAAAAGTTTGCTGACCGTAGAAAACGATAGTAATGTGCCATGATATACCGCGAAACTACACGCATTTTATATAGAAATCATATTGGTTTAATTTATTCATACCATGACTATAAACTGAAGGGGTAAGGTCGTATCTGTACGAAAAAAAAACTATTGTATGTACTCTGTGCAACCCTGTAATTACTTCACAGCTTTTGCGTGACTATTCATTCAGACGTTAAAGATCTTGATAAGCAAATTAGAGCAAAGAATTTATGGACATAGCTATAAGTAGAACAAATAATCAAATAAAAGAAAGCGAAAGTCGAGAAAGTAATTTTTCTTGGCAATATCCATATCAATGTCATAATGAATTCTTTATTGCACAAATTTGGAGTCATGTGAAACTTACTTCCATTTCTGTTTAAATTTTATTTTGCTAAAAATAGATTATAAACGATGTCTGAGGCACCTGTACAAGAAGTTGCGGCAATGTCAATAACCCCGAAAGAACCGGAGGCAAATGGCAATGCGCCAAAAGCAGCAGAACCGTCGTCGTCTCCAGCACCAAATGCTGAAGCGAGCACTGCCACTTTTAAAGACCAATTTAAAGCATTTTCAAAATTCGGAGATGTTAAATCTGATGGAAAATTCATAACATTGTCTCAAAGTGATAAATGGATGAAGCAAGCTCATGTAAGATTGTGAATTTATTATCTAAGCGGCTCGTTTTATGGCTGTAAATATTTTTCAACTTAGGTAATTGACAAAAAAATTACAACAACTGATACGGGAATCCACTTCAAAAAGTTAAAGGCTATGAAAGTTCCAATCCTTGAATATAATAAGTTCTTGGAAGATTTAGCTAAAACTAGAGGCATGGAATTAGCTGACATCAAAAGTAAAATGACCAATTGTGGTACACCTGGATCTGTGTCAGTCAAAGTATGTATATCTTCTTATATGTCATAAATGAATGATCCTGGGAACTAATTAATTACAAACTTTTTAGTCTAATGCAAAAGCAGCTGAGACAGTTGCACGCTTGACAGATACATCAAAATATACTGGAAGTCACAAACAACGATTCGATGATTCTGGAAAAGGAAAAGGTATTACGGGACGAAAAGATACACCAGATGGAAGTGGATATGTTGCTGGATACAAGCATAAGGATACATTTGATAAGACACATTAAATCATCTTAGAATTTAATTATTTCCATTAATTTGTACTCAACAAAATCAGAAAACAATAATCATTCAAAAAAAATATCAGACAAAGTCTAACAGGAACAAAATGTTATGACAAACCTCAAATATTAAGGATAAACTCATATATTTTCTAGAAATCAAATCAAAAATCCTTTACAAAAAACCTTTTAATTACAACCTGCCAATCAAAATTAGTAAAAATATATTTATTGAAAAATTTCCAAATTTGATGACAAGTCTTAATCTATTTCTATTTGTACATGGCTATTCATCAATGTGTTACACTGATATGGAGTCGTTTACAATTAGTGGATGACTCCTATGAAGCTTCAGCAAAGAGTTAAAACTAAATGTGTAGCATCCATTGGCGCTTTTCTTTAAATATGACTGCAATTAAAACAAAAAAAAAAACGTCTTATAAGATTCCTAGTCATGCATTGTATAAGAGCAAAAACTTCTGTTGTTCTATTCAGATTGCAACTTAATTTATCATCTGAAATTATTATTATTTTTCATAGTAATAATAGCTATCGATTTGATTAATGTGCATACAAAAGCTGAAAGTAATAAGGGGCTGTTCACTTAATACGTTACGCAAAAAAACGACTTTTTTCACCCCCCCCCCCCTCCCCCTTTTTACAATGTATTACAACTCACAACCCCCCCCCCCCCCCTAAACGTTCAAAATTCATTTTATTTTGATAATTTTTTTATTCTAAAAAGACGGTTAAAGTTCTTTTGTATTTTTTTTCTTAAACATCAAAATACTGTACAGCTAAATAGGTCATGTTTTGATTGATACTATTAGTATTCTCATGAATTATTGGATTGAGATATAAAGCAAAAATTTGTTTGTTTTTTTGAAGAAAATTCAAAAATGTCATGAAAAATATTATGCCCGATCGAATTTTGGAAAATTCAATCAACTTTGAATGTAAATATCACAATGATGGGATCATATTAATCATCATATGAATGACAGATTTAGAGAGATTTACTTTTAAACTTATGATTGATTTAATTTTGAAAATTTCCAAGAATTATGATTGTATTTTAAAGTCTTGTAAACCAGTTTTCTATTGATTTGTTACTTTATATAACAAAAACTATGTATTGCTTAGCTATCAAAAGAGATCTGGACATTTATAAATCATTAAAAAGGCGTAAAATTTAAAAAAAATGTTTTTGATGTGAATTTGTAAACAAATTTTTTTCGTGACCCCCCCCCCCCCCCCTTTATGTTACAATTTTTCAAACCCCCCCTCCCTCCTAAAGTGCGAACGAAATAAGTGAACGGCCCCTAATTTGATCAATTAGTTTTTGTATGAAATTATAAGTTATGACAAGGTCCTAGCATGCAAATTGTCTATCGCATTAATACTTTAATGCTTCCAGATCTAGGCGTTCAGTCTAAGAGATTGATTACTTCTTTAAAATACAAACCCCTGCCGAGATTAAAATTTTCAACTTTATATTGTTTTATTACTTGATTGATAAAAGTTCTTAAAAAATTCTCATTAAGTTTGTTTTTTGTCATTACTGTTTATTTTTAAGTGAGAGTTCTTACTGCTTAGATATGTTTTTATTTGAAAAATTTCTTGTTGATAAAACATTTTCACATTTGAAATAAAAATTCACTTATATACGTGAAGTATGACTAATTCATTTGTTTATGGTCTGAAGACATCCATCAAAAAAGCTAAGGACATAAAACTTAAAATCTTCATTCAGCTAATTGTCAGACATGGTCCGATGTTACTTCCAGTTCCACTCGACACAACATGTTTCTTTATTGTTTTCCAGCATTAGAACAAAAAATTAATTAATTATTCATCAGATTCAAATAAACAATCGATCGAGATCACTAGTAGATTATTTCTATACAATGTGTGTAGGGAGATTTGTCGCTTTACTGCATAAATGTGAAGAAAGAATTAAATATTAAAAAGATAACTTATATTTTGAAACCAGTTCTGATTAAATATTCACCGACAGACATTGAGTAATAAGTAGAAATAAAATTAATTATTTCATAACTGGGTATGACTACTTAGTATCACTTGAGATGTTTCTTCAAGGCTGTCTCAAACGGTTTCAATTTTATTTCTCTCCTACTTTCTGCTCTACATATTTTACTTACTCATCAAGCTACATTTGATCTTCACATGTTTTATTGGTAAGCTCAATTTCATGCGACTACTTTATCTTCACCTTAACACGATCAGATTGATTCTAATTATTATTCGACATATAAAGAATGTGGTTTGAGAACAAGGCAGGCAAATTATAATTTCCAGATAGAATATCCCATCAGCATTGATGAGATTCTAATGACGAGTGTGTCCAATTCAAGGTAAGGGAGACTACTTTAAATATTTCTAAGGATTATAGAGCAAATGAGAACATTTTTATTATTTTTTAATTCACTTTATTGACAAATGATCTGGAAAAAGTTCGATGGCTTCAATATACAATTTAAAATTACGTGGCAATTTCATGTTTCCGGGCTGACAATTAAACTCTTTTTTTAGGCAGTAATGAGATGAGGAATTCCAGCTCCATAGACTGAGTAGGCAAATGGTGAAATTTGTTGTGTCTTAAGAACAACTGGAGCTGAGTATGGTGAGATGTGGACGGCATGTGGAGCAGCAATGTATGGAGAATGAATGGCAATTGTACTTGGAGCAACAACTGTTTCAGTTTCGTCAGATGATGAACGTGTCTTTGCTACTTCTACTGCTTTAAGATGTTCAGCTCTTGCTACTTTAACTTCCTCGGTGTCTTCAACAGGTTCTGGTGCTTTCAATGGAGCTGATTCTTCTTCAGTTGTTTCACTATTTTCAGCCTTTCTTAAAGCTTCCAAATGTTCAATTTTAGCAGCTTTTACTTCAGGTGTATCTTCAACTTGTTCTGGAGCTTTTGCATTATCAACAGGTGGTGTTGGTAAATTAGTGGCTGCAACACGGAATCCAAGAGCATCAGCAACATAGTTTACAGTTTGTAATTTGCTTTCGGCATCAACATATGAATATGATCCTTGTGTAATTCCATCAAGGGTCTTAATTTCAGATTTTGCACTTGGACCACCTTGATAGCCATATGAATAATCTCCTAGACCTGATTGAGCGTGCCATTGTTGAATTGCTGGGACTGGCTGATACACAGCACTATATGCAAGAGGTGTATGAATCAATGTTACTGGTGCTGCACTAGCACTCATCACTGATGCAATGAAAAGAACTAAGAACTTCATTTTTATTTTTTTTTTCAAGCTACTACTAATTGCTCTGATTGAAGTCAAGAAATGATTTGATTCTTAAACTTCTAAACTGAATCTATTTATACGTGGTGAGCAGCAATCGAATTGTTTTTACACACCATCTAAATAAATCTCACTTACTTGTTTTAATCTAATTTAAATTATACTTTATTGAGATAAATAAATAAATATTTTAGAAGAGACAACACATACACTTACATGCTGAATAATATCGATCAATCGTCTGTTAAGATGCTGAAATTGAACAAAACTTACTTTTGATGAAACATTCAAGTTTAAGGGAAGTAAGTTTTTTTTAATGTGGGAACTCAAGCTAATTTGAAATTTATTAAGTGATAAACGTGTATTCTCACACATGCTCTAAAATATACGTGACAATAAATTTAATTCAAGAATATTTTAATTCTGATTTAATATTTTCAACTTATTGCTTTATCCTTAAAAAGTTTACATTGTCAACATCTCTAGATTATTGCATAATATCTATTTAAATAGTTCGATTTGTAATTAATATTTTATTGGAGTATGATCAATTTTGGCCACAACTAAGTGGAAAATACTTTGCTATATTAATCAAAATTCGTCAATTATTGCAGTCAAACCTTAAGCATGCTGATTTAAAAAGCTGTTAAAAGTTTGAGTCACGTTTCTTTTGAAATATTTGAATGAGAGGGACAAGCTCTTTGATTTCAATGCTTTTCTCCTCTGAGATCGAGTTTTATTTTTAAAACTATCATAGATCAATGGACAAAGCGCATTTTATATCTTTTTGTACATTTTTCAAGGTTTGGCACAAATTTATGAAATAAATCCAGTGAAATCTTTACATGCTCTAATCTTATATAGATATTCCATAAATTTCAGCTCCTACGAATTTTAAAATATAACGATTCCCCAAAATTTGAATTGTAACATTTAAGAAAAATTTGAAAACAAAACGTGAAAACTTAATTTTTGTAAAAATTGCATTTTAATCTAATTTACTATTAAATAAGCTATAAAAAGTTACAGAACAGCACGCAAACATCAAATAGTAAGTATACAATATGAAAATTATAAGCAAAATGCTGGAATCTAATAAGAAAACATAGATTCAAGAATCAGTGAATTTTCAAATAATTCGTGAAAAAAAATTATGTCTTAATATAAGCTACTAAATACTTAAACATGCTTTGAATCCGTTTTGAACTTGATATTCTAAGTTCAAACTGAGAAAAGTATACTTTATACATATAAACATTGTGAAAAAATTAAAATCATTCAATTCTTTTTTTTTTCTTTTTACAAGATATAGGAGTTCGTACTATGATTTTGCGTTTGGCAACGAACAGATCGTGTTTGTCATTCATTAAGCGCACAATGAGCAATTCGGTACGAAGGAAATATAAAATTTCACTTTAGTGCATTATTTTTTTTAACTTTCTTTTGTGATCTTTTCAGAAAGCTTTAGTGATTGGAATCAATGTGAAGCAGTCTAAGCAAGATGATAAGAGGAAGGATATTGAATTATCGTCATATGCGAAGGAATTAAATGAGAAGTCAAAAGGAGCACTCTTAAAAGCCATTAATACGTAAGTTTTCTTTTTTGCCGCTCTCTCTTTCTCTTGTTTATATTTTTTCCTTTCTTAACATCCATTTGGCAAGGAATGTGTTAATATCCATGATATGTCGGTCTATTCATTAAATTATCATTACCAGAAAGCGAAAATTATCAAGATTTAGATTTGGCTGGATAAAAAATGTTAAATTAATGAATATCAAGCTGATTCACATATCAGCGACAATATATTCAGTCTTAATAATGCGACAATGTATTTTTATATAAACTGATAAATTTTTATTGCTATTATGACCGCAGTTCTATTTAACTCTTTCGTAATTCCATTTTTTGCAGTTCATTTTGCGATAAATTGTCTTCAGGAAAAGCTAGATTGTTGTTTGATGCCAACGTTGAAGATTATTGCGCAATTGCCGTTACAGCTTTAGACACAACAAAGTGGGATAATCTCGATGGAATTAATGCAGATCATGAAGCCGTTCGGATCGCAGCATCAAGCGGAGTGAAAGCATTACAGTCACTTGTAAGTTTGGCCAAAAAGGTCACAACATCATAATAATTTATAAATATTACATTATTAATATATCACACGACTTTATTATGTATGCATGAAAAGTTTCTCTCTACTATGTTTTATATATATTTTTTTTTCTCATTGCATTGTATCATCCATACTGAATGAGTCTTTCTTTGTTTCACATTATTCATTCTTAACAGAAACTCAATGATATTTACGTTGATGATCTTGGTTGTTCTAAAGCAGCCGCTGAAGGAAGTATCTTGGGAAGTTTTAAGTTTCAACCATACAAGACAAAAAAGTCTGATATTCCAACAATTCATGCTGTAAAGGAAAGTGATGAGTGGAAGAAAGGTGCCATTCTAGCAAATGCTCAAAATTTCTGTAAAGTCTTGATGGATACGCCCGCCAATTTAATGACACCGACATTGTTCTGTGAAATGGTGAAAGAAAAATTTAATGGTTTAGCGAACGTTGACATTCAGATTCATGATGCTGAGTGGGCGAAGAAAGAAAAGATGAATTTATATTTGTCAGTGACTAGTGGATCGTCAGAACCACCTAAATTCTTGGAAATCACATACACAGGAGATTCATCATCACCACAAGATTTAGCAGCAATTGTGGGTAAAGGAATTACATTCGATTCTGGTGGAATTAGCTTAAAACCACCATCAAAGATGGATCAAATGAGAGGCGACATGGGAGGAGCTGCAAATGTTGTCAGTACTTTATGGGCTATTGCATCATTAAAGGTTCCAATTAATGTTAAAGCTTTCACGCCATTATGCGAAAATATGCCAGGAAATTATGCCACAAAACCCGGCGATGTATTTTACGGACGAAATGGAAAGAGTGTTTGTATCGATAATACAGATGCAGAAGGACGATTAATTCTAGCCGATGCTTTGAGCTACGCTTCTGAGTAAGCTCTTATCTTAACTTGTATGTAACAATGTAATACAATTTCTCATTTTATTGTAGTTTCAAGCCTCGCTTTATCGTAGATGTTGCAACGTTGACAGGCGCGGTAAGTATTACTTTCTATCTTAATCACGGCTATGAAACTCAAGAGGGTGATAAGATTTGCTTGTTTTGTTAAGTAAAAAGAAACATTTAAAACAAGTATTGTAATTATTTCAAAATTAGGTGCGAGTTGCTCTTGGAGATTGTGTGACAGCAATCTTTTCAAATTCCGATCCATTGTGGGAGTCTATTGAGTCAGCAGGCAAAGAAACTGGTGATCGAGTTTGGAGACTGCCTTTATATTCACACTATACTAATCAATTGACAGAACATGATGCTTACGATTTGAATAATCTTGGTAAAGGAAAAGGCGCTGGATCATGCGTAGCAGCTGCTTTCTTGAGAGAATTTGTTCCCAAAAATATGCCTTGGATGCATGCCGATATTGCTGGTGTTATGTGCGAGACATCTGATCAAAGTTATGTTGGAACTGGCTCAGCAATGACTGGACGTCCAGTTAGAACACTCATAGAATTTTTAATCCGTGAATCAAAGAAGTAAAATCTATTTCGAGCATTTTAATCTGTAAAAAGTTATAAAGTATGTGTCCAAAACGGTTTTAATCTTTTCTTTTTGCCAGTCCAAAGATTGTTTGTGTCTCCAATTATTAGATAAGTCAAAGCATTGTCGATTGAGCAATAAAAGCAAGTTCATTCTTTTGTAATACAATAAAATAAAATCAAAATCGTTTAATCAATACATTACAAGCCAGCTGAATGATCTTCTTTATTTTCATCTTTTTAAATTTTTAACGAACTTTTGAATTTTGAAATTAATTTAAATATTGAAAGTTCGTTAATCAAAAAATTTATTCACATTCAAAAAAGTTTCAAAATCATTCTGTACATTTCTTCCTCATTTCTCTTTTGTGTCTTATTGGATATAAATTTGAATGTAAGCATAAAATTTGATTAAGTGCAAACTAATAAGTAGGTTGTTATAATAATTAGAAGTAGAATGGAATGATTTTTAATCTTATGCTTCATCTTTTTTTTTCCTTTTTGATTCGTTTATTTGTGAAAAAAAGGCGGGAAGACCATGAAAATATAAATCCTAAAATTTCACCTTTTTTTATTCTCTTATTTGCTTTTCATTCTTGTATTTCTTACAAAAGTAAAATTTGACCCTTAAAATCACCCTATAATATATAGCATTAACTTACAGATGTAGATTACTTAGGGGCCGTTCACTTATTACGTTCATAATTTATTTTATTTTGAAAAAAATGTTTTTGGTGTGAATTTTTTTAAAAGACAGACGACAGTTAGAACGTTACATACCCCCCCCCCCCCTATGTTACATTTTGTTACAATTTTTCAAACCCCCCCTCCACCCTAAAATGCGAACGTAATAAGTGAACGGCCCCTTACGTCTTTACGAAAAAATTAAATTAAACAGCTGTAGTTTGTTGGGTTTAAATAACAAACAGCTGTAAATACAGATGGTGTTAAATAGTATAGGGTGATATAAAGGGTAAAATTTTATTTGATAACGGATTTTGAATTCAAAACATAAAAAATCCAGCTTTGTGTTTCAGAACCGTACAAATGTTTTCAAAATAACGACATTCAAATAAATTTTGACTGTTACAAATGCAATTATTTTCGAAACAGTAATATTAATAAATATTAAGTACAATACGTCTCTTTTCATTCAAATTTATTTCCTTCACTCGCTTAAAAACAAGAACGCATCAAAGCATTAATCATCGTCATTATTGTTGAAAATTCCTTACAAATATTTGTGTCTTTGAGTGCACACACGCTTTTAAATTCCATTTTATAAATAAATAAAATATTTGAAAAAGTGTAGTTCTTTTTTGAAATGCACACAATTTTCATGTCTTGATATTTTTTCAATTTTTTTTAAAGTTTTAAATTCTATTAAAAAACTAGATATGGAGACTTTATTTCATTCATGAAAAAATATTTTTTAAATTTACATATTTTAGTTCTCTCAAATCTTTAAAAGATTTGTTGTTTGTTTCTTCTTTATTTCCGTACATGAGTAAACTTAATTTTAAGTAAAAATTAAAAACAAAAAAATTATAATAATCACGAAGCTTTAAAAGCTTCTCTTTGAAAAATATTTCACATTTTCGCGTTTCTTTTATGTTGTTTTTGTTTTAAAGGAAAATTAAAATATATCAATAATGTGTATATATTTCTATCTACTTAAATCTTAAATGATTTATCAGTATATATATCATTTCTTCATTATATTAGAAGTAGTCAATTAAATTTCTAAAATTTGCTTTCATACTTGATGATCATTTTCAGGTTCGTCCAATTTTCCAACCGTTGTCGATTCTTCTATTTTACACTTACAGCAGACAATACAAGGTGCGGCTACAAAATAAAATATATTAAATTAACATAGTTCACAGTTGTATGCATATAAAGAGTAATTACCGAGAAGTAGAAGCGGAGAAGCGACCAACAGTAAAATACCAAATCCTGCAAAAATTCCAATGACTTGTGCACGATGCCAAACAACAGATGCTCGAGAATGTCCAAGCTTATTTTTGCATGATCCTTTATCGTAATGACGCAGTAGAAAATCATCCTAACATAAAGAAAACAACAATAGTAGGGTTACGTGCCTATAGAGGGAGAGTAAGCTTAAAACAATTCTCAAACTTACATCTAAACTCGCTAAACAATACCAACAAAATACATGTTTGCATCGTTTACACATCATTTGAGCACAGCCTTCATCTTTTTCAATTGGAACAGCACACATGGGACAGTTCTTGATAAGATCATTATCAAACAGCATCATTGAGTCATTTCGGCTACCGAGACGTTTAGAATTTTCTTCGCATGTGATCGATGGGTGCCACTAAAAGAATTTATTATTTTGACATCTTCAATTCCTTTAATTCAATTAATTTAAAAAATTTTATGTTTGAGCTTACCGCTTTTTTGCAACTCGAACAAAACTCTAAACTACATGTTGGACATAGAACAGAACGAGGAAGTAATAATGTGGCAGTAGATGATGAAGGTTGCTGCTGAATTGCAGATTGAGATGAAGTTGAAGGCTTCTCGTTCGCGGGAATTACAGAACAAATTGTCTCACAGTTTCGATTCGGGCACCATAACCGATATTTATCAAGTTCCACTTCTATTGTGTTTTTGCATTGATTGTGGGAAAAAAATTAATAATAATCAATAACAGACAAGAGACTAGAATGGTTTACCTCTATTAAGTCGATAACGGTGATGCTTTGACACTAAGCTTGCGTTAGCAAGTTGGGAAATTTCGGTGAGGGAAACAACGCCTTGTGAATTACATAAAGCATCTGGACATGATAGCTCATAAGCTCCCTCAGAGATTTCAAATTCAACGTAAGCTCGCATGCACTGAATTATTGAATGGGAAATGGGAAGATAGAAAAGAAAAGAGAAGAAAGGACATGAATAAAAATCAATAATCGATATCACGTGAAGAATGCATACTTCTGTACAGAATGTGCAATTACATGATGCAATGGTTGTGAGCTTATCTTCATTGAAAAATTCACCAAGGCACAGTTTACACGTGAATTTTGTAGCTAGTAAAGAGGAATTTGCTGTTATTGATGATGAATGATGTCCTTTAACTAATGACAATTTAACGCTGCTCGTGTCGTAAGGCTCAATTGAATTAAAATCATTTTCAATTAAATTATGATTACTACCGCAATCATCCTCGTCATCAACTAATACAATGCTTGATGTCGTCATTAAGAGATCCTCTTGAACTGTTGCTGAATTACGTTTTGTTCGATTTCCATTATTATTATTATTATTATTGTGATTATGATTACTTTTATTACAAGTATTTTTTAAAACAAATGCACCATTCGTTAATGAATAATTGGAATCGCCTACAGCCGCCAATGATAAAAGACTAGAACAATGTGAACATTCTTGTATTTGTCGTACGTTATTTGTTGTGAATGATTGACTTGGATCGCAGTTGACATAACAGCTTTGACTATTTCTTAGTCTATTAAGTGGTCTAATTGGCTCCAATAAACTATTTATCGATTTTGAATGATTTCGGCGCGATATTAATGGCTCATCACTTGATAATGCCAATACTGTCTCACATTTTCTCATTCTATGACTATGATGTTGGTGAGACATCGATACATTACCATTTAAATTTGCTAATAAGTTGTTACAACTTGCACCCGCAATGCTTGAACTAAAATCTTTCCCACGATGATTCAATAAAGGAACAACAGACCATAATTTTTGGTGAACCATCGCAAGAGATGTCGAATTGAGCGATGCAGTCGATTTATTTATCAGTCGATCCTTATTTAAGGATGTTATTGATCCACATCGGCTCGACTTTTGTGGCAACAAATCATATGCTGATGGACTCTTTGACACTTTTTGTATAGAATTTGAATTTATTGTTGCCGTCGATGTTGGAGCTGCCGATGATGAGCGCTTTCCAACTAGACTCTTTAGAAACTGCTCGATTCTCCATCGCTTTGACGATGTATTGGTTGAACCTGTCGTTGTTGTGGTTGACGTGGAATTTTCAATTGAAGATGTTTTCATTATTACGTTATTGGATGTTGTGTTGCTGTCAGGTACATTTTCATTATTAGAAATATTTAATATTGAAGATGCAACAATTGTTTTAATCTCTGCCAGATTGTTTTCGTCGTTTCTAGTAAATTGGGTTAATGGCTACAACGAGAAATGAGAAAAAGGAAATAAATATTTTTATTCATGTAATAATTTCCCGATTCATCCCCACATGCTTTACTCTCTCATTTTTTGTAGTGCATTTTTGAAAAATGAAATGCAATTAAATATAAATAAATGTGATTTATTCTTTCAGTGTTGTTATCAGAGCTTGAAGTCAAGGCGAGTTGACTTAATGTGACTCAGGGGGAGAACAGCTTTGAATTAAACTTTTTGCACTTTAATAGTCAAACAACTGATAGGAACAATATTTTAAATCACGATATTAGTTTCCCTCAACGTTGTTATCCCCCTAACGTGACCTTGTCAAATCATGTCTAATTCCGATAAATCCATAACACCGATAACAACACTGTCAGTGTACAAACAAAGAACAATAATTACTTAATGAGATTTATACTTTTTTTTTCAGTCAATGCCTGTCAGCAAATCCCGCACAATGAATTGTACATAAACACTCAATAATAATTTTTGTTTTGAGTTTTGAAAATGGGTATCGTATAACAATGAACATTTTGCGGTGATGACTCATTTCAATATTATTCTGATTTCTATTACAAACTACTTACTAATCTCTTATTGCATGTAATTTCTTATTCTTTGCAATTCACTTTGTCTTTACTTCCTCTACATCTCTGTAATGATGCCAATGAAATAAAAATAAAATTGTTTGCAAAAAAAAAGAAGTGAAATTGTGAAAAATAACTAAGAAGGCAAAAAAAGAGACTTGATGGAGAAGAGATGAGATTTTTAAAAGAACTGAACACTATAATATTTATTTAGTAAGCAAGTACTTAAGAGATGAAACAACGAGTAAAAGAGATAGAGACAAGAGCGTAAGAATTTATAACGGGTTTCTCCTTTCTTCATTTATTGCAGAATTGAAGCTTACTTTTCCGCAATTCAAGATTTTAGAAGTGCTCATTATTGTCAGCATTATTGGATTTTTAATTTAATCATCCCTTTAATTAATTTGCATCCCCCCACCCCCTTGTAAAAATAGCATTGACAACAATGTTATAAAAAAGCTTTAAACTTTGTAGCGATAAACTATTGGAAATTCCGATAAAAATCTAGTTCCAGGAAGCATAGATGGGCCATAATGACCATTTTTAGCTTTAAATAAGTCGAAATGATCCCTAGAAGGAAATGCTTTGAAACTGCACGCAGAAATTCCATCGGATAAGTAAAATATTCATTTCCTAGCAAAGTCTCTTAGAAAGTGTGCAACTGCATATTGCATCGATAGTTCAATAACTCGTAGATAGTATTGGATAGTATGTTAATTTTAAAAATAGACTCGAAAACTAAGAAAATTTCACTCGATCATCAAGCATTTGAATGTATTAACTTGCTAATAGTAGAAGAAATACTTGAAATGTTTCCTGTTCCTGCTTTTAGAATCTCTTTTATTTTTTTTTTCATTTATAGGCACAACTTTGCCTATTCTGTATGTAAATTCCTTATTTTTTATTATTCCATAAATTTAACTTTGTAGGCTCAAAGGTGTGTCTACTTTAAATACAGGGGTGTTTTATGGTTTGAATCAATCTGACTTTAAGAAACTCAGCATTTGCGACGAACTTGAAAGAGCACACATTATTCAGTGTTAACATTACTGATCTCATTTCTCTTCATTATTCCCGCAAATAAAAACTTTTTACTTGACTGTGCTGTGATGTATGTCAGTAAAAAATCAATGTAAATACGAGAAGGAAGAGTGAGAAAGCATGTGAAAAATGAGATAAGGCCAGAATATTGATCAGATCTAATAAATTCATTTACATGAACATACTAATTATTAGCGACTATCGAGTAAGTACTCACCGAGTTTTCCTGAAATTCCTCCTCTATTGCATTCGGATATCTCGAATCGTCATACCAAGAATGATGTCTGATACGATTATCAAACTTATTGCTGGAAACTGCACTACTAACTGGCCACTGTAGGCTTTGTCGTTTCTTAAAACTTTCTTTTTTCAATTCTTCATTCACATTTACTCCAGATGAATTTTGTTGTTGCTGCTGATGCTGTTGCTGTTGTGTCGGCTGTTGCCTAGATTGTAAGCAATTTTTTCTTTGAAATATTAAGGTTGTGCCATTTTTTGAATGTAAATTTAGAAACTTTGTTGCTGTTTTCTGAATATTATCGTTATCATTTAGCTTTGCAATATTATTTGTATCAATTAACGGATGACTCTCCGTACTCGTTAAGAGAAATTCATTAAAATTATTATTATTTTGATTACCACCACTTAGAATATTATTATTATCACTTGAAACACGCTTTAATTTATCATCTTTTTTAGCAATAATTTTACTTCTTATCACTTGCTTTTTAATATTATTACTATGGTTGATTAGCTTATTATACTGTTCCTTCTCAATGTTTTCAATCACACTACTATTTACATTATCAATCACATCCTCAGTGATTTCATTATTACGATTCGAATCATTCTTTCGGTGATTATGAGATCCAACAGACGATGACAGCAGATGATTGTTGGACGGTGACTTAGAAGAAGTAAGTAGGATAGATTTCATACTTGATGAAAATATTTTTAGAGCATTTTGAGCCGAAAATTTGGATAATGGCCTGCAAGATTTAGGGAGAAATTAGAAACTATAAACAACATCTCATATGCTCATCATATTACCATATTTTCTTTTTCTCAGACCGTACGAATGATAGTTACATTAACTATTTCTGGTTTAACTCTACACCAAGCGAGATGTGTGTGGAGAGAGAGAAGAGAAGGAAAGAAAAAGAAAAGTTTATAGATTATAATTTACAAGAAAGAAATTGGCGCTTTCATGCAAAACGGAATAAATAAACGTGAAATTAAAGTAACAAAGTCTCAGTTTCAAAAGCACGCATTTTTGTCCGCAAAGCACATTCATGTTATTATTATCTAAGTCATTGACTCACAAACCAAAGCATTGGACCTGATAAATATAACTTTATCTACAGTATAACGGGTTTTAATTAATTATAGACTACTGAACTTAAGGCACAACATTTTTTTCCGACCCTAGTCTAGTCACTAACACTTAAAGTCCCGCAATTCAGTTGAACCTGCTTAAACACCGATTAAGACTAGATTAGTCAGTTTGCCATCACTTTTCATTAGCATGGAAAATGTGTGAAAAAGAAAATAGCTTTGAAAGTTGAGCGAGTTAAAACAGGTAAAAAAAATAAATTGAGACTCATTTAAATGAAATGTCATGCACGAATTTATCACAGACTTGTATATTTTTATGAAACACTACAGCAGATACAGTAGGAAGAAATGCGTCATTTTTGGCAACAATTCTTTATGCTCTTTAATAGGGAAAATTTTAAAGTCAGAGGATTGTTTAGCTGCAGCAAGCACAGCTTATATTTGTAAATAAACTAAAAGCTTTGATTTCTCTCACATTCTCAATTTCTTTGGCTGTTTGGTTCATGAACCTTCTTTCCGTTTTGTTGAAAACGACATCACAATTATGTACGTACGTAAACAAGTTTCTTTTTTCTGTTGCCTGCCTGCTCGTTACTGTACTATTGTTATTATGACAACATTAAAAAATATTTTCTTGAACTTCTTTTTCCTTCAAAACTAAATGATATTTGGCATAATTATTATTACATTGAAATGGTCTTATTCCCAGTACTTAACGTGATAAACCACTTTGACTGACTGACTAGTTTGGTTGCAAAGTCAGTGATTGTAGATATGAGAATTGAATGTTCAAGAACATGAAAGTGTGAAAGACATCATTGTCGTCAGTCAAGACTGATTATTTACATAGAGAGCGAGTGCGAAAAAGAACGCAAATTAATGACAATCCTTACAAATTAAGTTTCAATTTTTCAAGTGTGTGTCATCCATTTCAATTGATTTCCATTAAATTAAAATAACAAATATTTGATCATATTCAAAACGTCATATATCTCCAATATAACGCGGTGTGTTAAGTAACCTTGAGAGTTTTTATTCTAATTATTTTCTATATATATATTGTATATTGGAATCTCCATTAGAGCTCTATGTCTTCTTGGGAATTTCTCAAATAAAATAATAAAAGTATTCACTTCGTTCGTGCTTGTAGCTCAAGTGATATTTTCATTTGTTTCGTCTTCTTTTGGACATAATAATCTGCGAATCAAGTCAAATAATTTATGCAAACTACATCAAAAATTGATTCTTTCCATAATTAGCTATCAATATTTTCATGCGTATCATTCTACTTGATTTAATCATTTTATAACTATTATTGATAGAAAATCAACGTTTTTCACTAATTCACTTGTCAAATCCCGTGAGAATCACCTTAAACTTTATTTTGTTTTCCATTTCTAAAATTTTATCACGAAAAATGGAAACTTTTTCAACAAATCCAATATTTTGCTCTTCAAATATAGTTTATTCCATTTATGCTACTTTATTCACTTACTCTCGTCACTTATACACCTCATTTTGCATAATTCTTCATGATTTAATGCTTAAAACTGCTTAAAACACTACTTAATCGAACTTAAATGAAAATTTTCGACTACTTTTTTTTTGTGTGACTACTCAGCTTTCAAATTTCTTGCTGCCGTTAAACTTATTGTGCATATGATTTTGCTTTGTTGACATGTCTATATCTTGTGCTTATCAATGACAAAAAATCTTAACTTAATCTAGATCTTAAAGACAATCTGTCAAAAAACTGAGAAAACCGTTAAATCCAAATTTTTAATATTAGAACCCACTATAAGTTCAAAATTTTGAATAAAACCCGTTACAAATTTTACCAAACTTTATAATTTGATAACTCATTTGATTGATTCTATTTCTATTACATCCAATTAATTAAGGACCAAAACAATAAGGGGCCGTTCACTTATTACGTTATGCAAAAAACCGACTTTTTTCAACCCCCCTCCCCCCCCTTGTTACAACATGTTACAACTCACAACCCCCCCCCCCCCCTGAACGTTCATAAGAACTTTTTTTTAAAAAAGACAGACGACAGTTAGAACGTTACATACTTCTTGACACCCCCCCCCCCTATGTTACATTTTGTTACAATTTTTCAACCCCCCCCCCCCTAAAATGCGAACGTAATAGGTGAACGGCCCCTAATAAACATTTGTGCATTACGAATCGCATGTTTTGTGCGGCAGCTGTTTATTCTTTGAACATCCGTTAAACTTACTTCCATGAAAGATAATCAAAAGAGAAGTAAAAGAACTGATTTCTAGTTGATTTGATTAAATTTATCATATCTTTTTTATTGTTATTTCAATTACAAGCTATGCAACAATTTGAATTATGTTTAAAAATCATTAAAATTAATAAGGTTAAAAAAATCTACCATGTCTTTGGCAGAGAAAATTGTCCCATTCGTCGGTGGATGTCGACAGCTCTTACTGCAAAATGATACTTTTGACCTAAAGGAATACATTTTTATTAAATTGTATATCTAATGGAAATTTATATAGATTAGTACCTTCTTGAAATTGAGTTAATGTTACTGCCATAGGAAGCAATAGAGCTTTTACATCTCCGACATGTTTCCACGATTCGGTTGTTGGAGTTGACCTTGTTTCTTCGTATGCATATATCTGATAGCTATGAATTTCTGCGTGTTCAGGAGTTAGAGTATCAACAGTCCACGAGACAATGATTCCATTTTGAACATTATTTATTTTGATTGTTGGCCTTGGAGGAATTTTCTTCATCGATGGATGATTCTGTTGCACTGGTATTTGGGGAAGCGGTGCTGGATGTCGCACGAGACCTTCTATGAAATTATACAATTTAAATTGGAATTTTTCAAAATAATTAAAATAAACTTTTGCTTACGTCTACTCAAAATATTTGGCGATGGTCCTCGGACAGACGAAACGGGCCTCATTAAACCTCTTGGTGACATAAAACTATTCTTTTGTATGGCGACTAATGCTGGGGGTTGTTGAGTCAGTATCGTTGATGGTGCATCATCTTCATCTGTCAAGTCTATGCTTTGTGTGGAGCTCAATTGACTTCTTTCCACGCTAAAACAAAATAGCAATGATTAAAAATTTAAATTTGAAAACCCTACAACAGCTTCACTCGTGAATTTATAAGGGTTTTGTTAATAATGTTTTAATTCTGTACCTTTGCATCTTAGTCATTCCATTGGGTTTTGCAGATGTGGAAGAAGGAGAACTGACTCCATCAGGTTTGATAACTTTTGTGCGGATCTTTTGTTCAATTGTTGCTTCCTGCTTCTCAAGTGTTGCCTTTTCTTTTTCCGATAATGGTGGTCTCATTGGTGTGATAATTTTATTAGACTTCTTTCGTTTTGCCTCTGCTTCCTTGTCACTCAGATCAGATTCATTTGGTCTCTTGACTGTAGGTTTATTAGTTGTTGATGTTACTTTCGGTTTGAGATTATTGCTGTGATTACTATTGTTTGGCTGATAAACTTGAAGTCCAACAGCTCGCGTGATTTTAACAGGTGTTATGGGCTGATCAGGTCTCTCCTTCAAATCTTTAATTATTCGTTTATGAATCATATCCAAGTCATTATATTGTTTTGTGATGGAACCAATCCTTTGTTTCAAATTATCAATAATTTCGTCCTGTTTCTCACATTTTGTACGAAGTTCTGCTGATTCTGACCGAAAAACAATCGATTCTGTAATTTTTTCAAGCAAAAGCTCTTCCAATTCAGATCGTGCCAATTTTCCGATTGTTGTAGCAAATTTTCTCATAAAATTCAATTTCACTTTGACTTCTTCCTTTTTTACTGTCTCGATAGCTATTTCCTTAGGTTTTTCTTCCACTTTTACCTCTTTGTCTTTTGGTTCTTCTTGTGAACTAGAATCAACTGTCTCTATAGTTTTAATCGTTTCTTGACTTTCTAATTCTGTCGGATATTCTGAATTGTCATCTATATTCATTTTTTCGTCCTCTGCTGCTTTACTCTCCGGAACTTTAAAGTTTCCATCTTCTTCATTTGTAGATTGTGCCTCAATCTGATCATTTTGGTCTGATTCGATAGTTTCTTGAGTATTTGGTTCACTTTCATCAATCTTTATTGATGATTCTAGTGAATCTGATTCTTCTAAGTTGACAATATCATCTTTAGGTTTTTCCTCAACAGCAGGATCATTTTGGCTTACTTCTGTATCCTTTTGTTCATCGTCTTCGTCCTTATTTTTGTCACTTTCATTAGATTCTTCTTCATTAGAATCCCCTTGATTAGATCCAGTATCATTTGATAGCTGTTCATCTTGTACTGTTGGAGATTCACATAGTTCCAATAAAAGTTCGTTTGATTCTTCTCTTGTAAGTTCTGCTGGTTTTGATGGCTGTTCTTTTTTCTCTGTTTCGTTAGTATTCTCAACTATTTTTAAATTTGATGAATCTCCATTCTGGATTGAGCTTAAAATTTCCTCAAATTCACTATTCACATCAGTATTTTGATTATTATCGTCGCCCTCTAAAAGCGAATCTTCTTCTTTTAAAAGCTTTTCTATATCCTCTAATGATGTTTCTCTTATATCGTCTTCATCGATATTTTCTTTATTTTCAAGACAAACTTTTTTTAAAGGTGGCTCGTTAACAATCTTTTCTGTAACAGCCGGTATAGTCTCATCATTAATCGCCTCGTCTAGTTTCTTTAGAAAATCATCATCCTCATTATCCACTGCTTCATTAATATGCCCTTAAATGATTATCACGAAACAAATTGTAATAATAAATGCTTCAAAACCGTACAACAGTTTAAAAATGTATGAGAACTATTCAAATGTTTAAAAGACCCCCCCCATCCCAAAAATTTAAACAAATAATAAATACCTAGCCAGACAACAGAATGAAATAGAAAGCAATTCTTCTCAGAAAAGAGTATAAAAGGTTGCGTGAAAACATTAAAAACTCGACTTTTTATATAGGGTAAAATCTCATATTCTTATATAGACAGCGGCAAGCATTTATGTTCGTAAAGTAAAACGAAATTATTGCTCAGATCTTAATGGAAGTACAAAATATATTATTTATTCTTATTTAAAGATGAAATAATAAAAAGAAAAAAGCAATGCAGCAAGAAAAGTAAATTTATAGGGTAGAATCTTATGTTTTGGATCATGAGCAATGTGTAGCGCTCCGAAAAGTGACGAAAATTTCCGAAGTCTAATGACTGCAAAAATCAATTATTTTCATTAAGTAATGACATAGAAATGACAATATTAAGTCAAAATGTAGAAAATAAGAAGTGAAAAGTTTGAGAAATGAGGGAAAAGTATAGCAACTTTAATGAGACGATACATGCATCGCGCATAAGTCGGATTTATATATAATGGATGAATACTACTTCTTCTTATTCATTTTGCTTAATATTATTAACTTTAACCTTATATTTGCGGAGCTAAGCTAGCTATTTAGGTCAAAAAAGGGCATGAAAAGTATAGAGTCATAGATGGAATCTAGGTTTTTGACCAAAGACCCAGATCATGTTCGTGATATATGGAAGAATGTTTATAATAGATTTTCTTTCAATTACCTTCATCCTCGGCATCAAAGAATTGATCATTATTATGCGGTGATAATATCTGTTTCTCGCTCGTTCCTTGAATTTCCATTGTTTCTGCCATTTCCAAGTTATTTAACAATTTTGCCGAAAATTCAACATAAATTTCATCAATACAAATGCAATTTTTCTCTCAATCAAATTTTTTTTTTTATTAATTCACTTTTCCTCCTAAACTACTGACTTATTAAATGAAACTTTATGTTATTCTTATGCTAAATGACTTAATGCATTGATATTTATGTAATTAGACTTTCTTAAGGAACGATTTCCTTAGAAACTTTAATTTTAACTTTTTTAGCAGCCTTTTATTATGCACGCACACTACCGAATGAATATGTGTTATACACGAACGAAGCGCGAAGATGAAAATGTACTTTAATTCTAAAAGTACTCATGTACGGTGCTGTAAACTTTATTTTTCCAAAAACTCAAATATCAAAAATTCAAAAATGATTTCAAAATATATTTTTAAATCTTTTACATCTTTCAAATCTCATTTTATAATATTTCTTTGCATGTGTTGACAGCACACATTCATGTTTAATGTTCTCCATTGTAAATAAAAACTAGTTTTTCGTTAATTAAACCACAATTCATATTTAAGATTTTAAAAACCGTTACATTTTTCAATTCAAGTTTTGAAAACCTGTGATAATTCAAATTTTTGAAAACTGTTAATAAAACAATTGTTTTTCAAAATTCTTTAAATCATACTTTATTGAAAAACTGTGAATTCTTAAAAATATCTGTATTGATAAAAAATTATTTCAAATGCATTTAACGCTAATTTATGTGGTATTCTTCTTTCTCTGTCCATAAACTTAATAAACAGCTGGCTTTTGTTGTGTTAGCAATAATCCAAATCTTTTCTTGATAATCAGTCTATGTCGAGAATATTTATCTTCTGGTGAGAATCGAGCTGGATGTGCTGTTACAGTCGGAAGATTTTCTGGATTCTTTTTCTGTAATGTATACATTTTTTTAAAAATGTTGTTTATGTTGATAAATTCAATTATTTTCACTGATATCTCACCTTTAATGTGTACATCCTTTCACCTTTTTCATTGAGGTAATACATAAGATACATGATGATGTCTTGATAGCTTTAGATTTTAATAAAATGAATTATTATAATCAGCACGTTTTTGAATGAATGAAAACAATAATAAATTCTCTTATAAGCCTGCGGATTATCAAAAGCAAACATTTAAATTTTTATAAGTCGTTAACATTGATTGTAGTTAAAATGATTTATAATCTCCTTTATTTTACATTAAATTAGGTAATGTCAAAGAATATTAATTAATATATATCGAATCCATTATAATTCAGTTCCAGACAGAAGTTTGCTTCGAAAAATCGTTGATTAAATTAACACACACGAAAATTTTGAATAATCAAAAAACATTTTAACAAGCCGCAGGCTTGTGGTACAAAAAAGTGCAAACCACAAAGAATTGATTCTCATAACTTTAAAACCTTAATTTAAGCTGTATTTAAGTCACTTTGTGAAATATTTAATAATAGTACAGATAAATAGAAAGAAATCCTACCTGATTTCACTGTAAGTAATAAAATATAAGTACTGGAAGACGATGAATATTGAAGACGAAGATTTAGGAAGTGATTCAGATTCGGACGATGGTGATTACTGTCCAGTTAATGACAGTGGAAGTGAATCTATTGATGAGAAAGAAGAATTAAATGAGAACAATGTAGGAACAACAAAACCCACCAAAAAGAAGCGTAGAAAAGGAAGGAGAACAAGGAACAAGCAGGTTGATGATGAAAATGAGGAAGAAGAAAGGCAAACAATCAAGACTGTTCAAGATCCTGAGAAAGAAAAAGAAAGAGTTGACGCATTATGGGCAGATTTTTTGAGCGGAACTGAAATCCCACTTGAAAAGAAAGAAACAACTTCTACAAAATCGTCTACATCCAAAACAGACATTCCAAAAATACAGAAACTAAAACCAGCACCAGCACCAAAGGTTTTTGAGTTTGCTGGCGAAACCATAGAAGTATCACAAAATGACACGGAAAATTCGACGAGCTCTATTAATCCCATAAAGCCGTCTACAGGTCAAACAAACTCTTTGGGCATTAAGAGACCAAGTACAGGAGGATTATCATCAGTCTTGGATCAATTCTCTAAAAAGAACAAATTAAGTGTATTGGAGAAAACAAAACTCGATTGGGATGGTTTCAAAAGTAAAGAAGGTATTAATGAGGAACTCAAAACTCACAATCGTGGACGACAAGGGTAAGTACCTTAAATTTTCATTCATTAAGTCTCAAATGAGTAAAAATTGTTTATTTAAACAGATTCCTAGAACGCCGTGATTTCCTGGAACGAACAGATTTCAGGCAGTTTGAAATTGAAAAGAGTTTAAGAACAACATCCAAACGTAAAACAAATGAAAAGTGAAACATTGCTTTGTGGATGCAATGTTTTTGTTAAAGCAGCAAGGATCATTTGAAAAACAATAAAGTGAAGCATTGAAAAAATACTTATACCTGTTACTTAATTTATGTTCTCATTCATTTACAAATTCGAAAACCTGATTCTATTTCAGTGATAACTTTACATTTTCTTGAAATGAATTAGCATGCCTTAATAATTTGTTGCTGTTGATAAATGAAGTCCGAGGATAATGTGGTGATTTTTGAAATGATCATCTTATTCACTTATGATTCTAATAAAATTTTATAAAAGTATTAAACTTTTGTAATTATAATCATTGACCTTCCTATAGCTAATAAGCAATTAATTAATCCTTATTTAAAACGTCTTACTTTTGGGTTTTCCAATAATTTCTTGATTAATTATGTAAGACAAATTAATGATTCAAATAATAATAGAAAAGAATTGCGGCTATAAAGCAAACAAAATTGGATTTGATGTAAAAATTTAAAAGACTTGTGAATTTTAAAAAAAAGGAATCCAAATATCACTTTTCCACTCTAGTAAAGAATCCATGCAAATGATTAGGAATAGCGTTGGATATTAAACATTAATGTATGATGAGCAGCATTCACAAAAAGAGCACAAAACTGAAAAATAATAAGTTGAGTTAGAAGCACGTGCTTCTCTTAAACCCTAAACACCAAAACAGTTGTTTATCTGGCAAAATTCTAAAAGAAGAACTTCTTTGCAGAGTACGAGTTTTATGTATGTCATGATTACGTCTGAAAAGTAATCCTTCCTGTATATAGCTTTTAAAAAGACGTTTTTTCCATTAATTTTCGGCAAATGGTCATCATCAAAGTCTAATCTAATCTAATCAAGATATTAAAGTCTTAAGGATTTGCCTGTTGCTAAGTGTCCCACAAAAAAAATAAAAAATAATTAGGGGAATTACGTCAAAAATTCTTAATTATTCCACATGAAACCCATTAATCGATAAGGTAGAAGGTAAATATAGTCACAAAGGCTATTGGTATCAAAATAAATCCATATGAGCAAGTCTTGAGGTAGAGAAAAATCTGAAAATATATTTTTTTTGAGAGCGATTTTACTATTACTCAATTATCAGTAACAAACATGAGTTGTATTTAAAAAGAAATAATTTGAGTAATATTTATTCAATCTCATTTGAAACTTTCAACAGTAAAGTTGCGTTAGAAGCATTTCAGTTATATTTTATATTAAAAGGAAATAAAAGTGATCATTAATTAAAGTGAAAGCCAATTTGATAAGCTGTTGTCATTTTCTTATTTATATTCTGTGTTGTTTTTAATTCCTGATAAGTAATTCATTCAAACAAACATGTTGTCTATTGATCACAAAAATGATGACGACCAGAAAAAGAAACTTCGCGAGATGACAAAGTCCTTTTGTGGCATAGAAAAACCATTGAAAAATTTTGTCGATCATGTTGAGGATTTAAATGGACTTATACGTGAACTTCATAAAGCTTTCTCGACAAATTATGTTAATATTGAGCACGTCAATCATCTTATGTTGGTTTATGCTAGTAACTATAATGATTGGAAAAAGTTCGGTAAGTTGGTGATTTTGGGTCGTTCATGAATGACGTCAATCAAGAGAAATTTTTCGAGCAGTTGACTTTAATTTGGGAATAAATTAGGATCATACTTTAAAGTTTTGTTCAAGCCTTGAGTAGTGACAGTGATTGTGAGGCATTAGAATTGATACTTTTGATCTGTAAACTCTGAAGCATGATTGTTAATGAAGGAACTGTTTTAGACCTATTTTAACTTTTGTTTGATCATATTCACAAATACAGATGTTGAGTCACATGAACATCTGGCTTAGAAGTTGTGGATTTTTATTGCATTTTTGACGAATCTGAAGGAGCTGAAAAAGACTCATCTTCTGATTTTTTAGGCACATTACAGATACCAATTCAATTCCAATTAAATCAAATTTATAGCTACAGACCTCCCATCTCTTTTGAATTTCTTACGTCATTTATGAACGACCCGTAAAGGTGATACATTCCTTTAATTATTGTGGTACTAAAGATGTTATTAAATCTTTTAGCCAAATTTGATCGCTACAAGTGAGTACAAATTGCAAATTAACATTAAATGATTAAAAATTACGATTCGTGAAATTTTTTGTGTGGTGCTATAAAAATAATGTTTATAATTCTTTTAATCGCATCTTAATGAGTGTTGTTTTGTAAAATGTTTTCATGATTATAAAATATATATCAACACACAAGTATATATTTTTTTCGGACCATATTACGGAGGATTGAGGAAAATTTTTAAGGTCAATCTTTAGGTTATCATTTTGAGCAATAAATCTTTCTTATTATTATTATTCTTATTTCTGTGGGCCGATGCCGATGTCGATGCTGTTTTTTTTTGTCGGTTGTCCTTATAATGAGAGGACAGTCTGTATAATAATTATGACGAGTGCCTGCATGCGTAATCTTTATTATAAGGCACATGCGTCTTTCATCAATTTTATTTCCTCTTAATGATAACTCGTAATTCCCTTATTTATAATGACGTGGTGATTCGATTGTTCACAAAAACAATAATTGTTGACTTATAAAGTCAAGAACCATTGAAATGTGTGTTGTTAAAAAACACGAGACTTTAGTTTAAAAATAGAAGCGTAATTCCATTCTTATCAGTAAATGTATTTTTCTCTATCATGCTCACGTTCTAAAGAATTCATTAATGACAGGCTTAGTTAAGAAAATATTTCTAGGGGGTCCAAAATGTTGTTATCAACCTACCTGTTTTTTATTCGGTAGCTTAGTAAAATAGAACTTTATTACTTTTGTACCCTAGCACCTCTTAGTTGCTAGTAATTGAAGACATACTTAAATAATATTTATTTTTTTACAGATACACAAGGAATTTAGTTGACGCTGGAAATGACAAGTTTAATCTAATGATACTGTGCTGGAATGAAGGACAAACATCAGCTATTCATGATCATGCAGATTCACATTGCTTCTTGAAAGTTCTCAAAGGAGGTTTAATGGAAGTTAAATTTGCAGCACCGAATAATGATACCTCAATTTCACACATGGAACCAAATATCCCAGCAGACATAGGAGCATATCATGCAGGCGAGGAGCATGAGCATCACGAAGAACAATTACAGGAACTTTGTAGAAACACAGTGTATGAGAATCAAGTTTGCTACATTAATGGTATGTAATTTGGTTTCAATTATGAGACATAATGATCGATTTTGACCATTCAATCAGATAACATTGCATTACATCGCGTCGAAAATGTGAGCAATACAGATGTTGCAGGTATTTATTATTATTATAAACTTACTTATAATGTACACGAGATTTCATCGCAATTATTTCAATTTCATTCTTGCAACTATGTACGTAGTCTCATTGCACCTTTACTGCCCTCCGTTCGATGCCTGCGGTGTATACAATAAATCGACTGGAAAGAGAACTAAATGTCCTGTAAGCATTAAAAACATTAATTGTGTAATGTAAATTTTTTTTTTGCTAATTTGTCAATTTTATAGGTCACATTCTGGAGCAAATATGGAAAGCGCGAAAAAATCCTCGACAATTGAACTAATCAGCTTGCAAAATTAAATGATTTTATTTACAACAGTCTTTGCATTTATTCATTTATAAATGATTTCATTTTAATGACTCGTATATAAATTGTTATTTTTTATTTGCTTAATAATTACATTTAAAGTTATTAAAACTATTATTTGGCGCATTTTCACATGATAAATCTTGAAGAAAGTTGAGGAGTTAAGATATTTTCAATTTCTATGCATTAACATAAAGTCATAAAATTTTATTGTGGATCCAAATTTTAAATTCGCTAAAATGATTGAAAATGTCAAAATTTGAATTTTTACGGACCATGTCTAGACATAGAAATTCAAATTATCTTTCTCCCTGATAGAAAATTCTTTTATAAAATAAATTAAGACTTTGTACACATATATACTCGTAGAGTTAAGCCAACAGCTTGTCTTCCGTTTTCGAACAACAAAATTATCACTTTAAGAATATTATTTGGGATGTTCAAAAATGACACAATTATTCTTTCTTAAATGTTAGACTTCATTGGTGAACATTCCCTTACTATCATTTAAAATAAAATTTTAAGGATTATGAGAGAATAAAGAATTACTGTAAAATTTAAAGTTTGGCTATTACTACTACTCGATAACAATTCTTGATAAATATAATGAGGACATGAACTCGTTTTTGTATCCTTTAATTCTGTGAAATTTGGATATTTTATAATTTCTTGTGGTATACTTATCGACTTATTCGCTGTTCTACAGAAAAGCATGTAACTGGAAGTAAGAAAGATAATTAATTATACTCATTTGTTTGATGCAAAGATTTATAGTTTAATTAATTTCTTGACGTTTGTTATGCTTACCTTCCTGTGCTCATAACGATTTCAAATTTTTGCGTAAAAGACTGATCATCCCATGGAAGTTGTTTTATATGAGTCATGAATGTACGATCATGAAATTCCACAGGATCGGAAATGATTAAACGAGCTAGATGGAAAGAATTAAAAAAGTCAATTAAAAATGTTATAGCAAGTAATTTATAAACGTACTTAATATTGAATTCTGATAATATTCTTGCTCTTCATCAATTGAGCTTCTGATCTCGTTTGACAATGCAGAATCGGATGATAAAAGAGAACGGTTAAGTTGAACTGTATCGAGACCATAAATAATTATATTTTCAACATCCGTCATTGTTACTCCATGGAATGCTCGTACATTGAAATATTCAAAAAATTCCTTAACAGGAACCATTGAATAGCAGCCAACTGTAAAGTACACAGTAGATAATGAAGGTATGCAAGCTAATGTTAAAGAAAATTTTGACTTACCTAATTCAGTTTTTGGATAGTAAGTAATGATTGATAAGCACATTTCTTCATGTAATGAATAGCCTCCAAGTGTGGGCTTGTCTAGTCCTTCCGTGTTGTATGAGCACTCGAGAACCATAAAATCACCTGGAAGCACTTTAGTTTCGTTCTCTAATTGACGTATTTCCTGATAATTGTGACTATAATGATTATCGTCAATAATTCGTGTTACTTCCTTTCCTGCTCTTATATGCGAAAGCTTAACATTTCTTCCCGCTACATGCGTATGAACTGACACTGACACGATGTTTATGCCTTCTTCAGGGAAAACATTTTCCGTACCTATGTTAATATTAAAGCATGTAATTAGAACTGAATGGTCAACTAGAATGATCAATTAACATACATGATGGACCACAAATTCCAATATTTCTAAATGTAGGCTGCTTTGGCGGTATAAATTGAGTGTCGGATACTGAAACACCATTGATCATTATTCCAGCATCAAATTGGCGCATTTCATTTACATAATGAACTCGAAAACCAGAATGATCCAAAAAGTTTTTCTTGTTTGGATTCACGTAATGAATTTCGAGCATATAAAAAGATTCAGTAAATGGAATTCCAACATGTTCGGGTAGAAAATGTGAGGAACCTCCATATGAGTAAGTCGCCACGGGAGTAACACAAGAATCCCAATTTCCATTCGAATATAGAGTTGAACCACATTCAATGCCATTCGATTTGGACCATTTCTTCAAGTCTTCGGAATTTTTACTTATAGCGTCGGGGTCAAAATGTTTTGCCGAAAATTTGCATTCAAATAGAGTCATGTGATGAACAAACTGGCGCTTTGTATCTCTAAAGAAGTATTTGAGAATTATGTCAAGGCATAGTTTATTTTATTAATTATTGATTTCTTACTTATCACGTGATAAGATTGGCTCAAATCCTATTATGTGTTCCTTTGGATGTTTTGGTGCCTCAAAAATTTTACACCAGTAGACTGACCCCACATCCTGTGTGATTTTTACCTTTATAATGAAGATCAGTAAATAATTACAAGATTGACAAATTCGAAAGTTGTATACCTCTTTCATAGCTACATCCCATTGAAACACACTAGTATCCTTAGGCTTTGTTGATGAAGGATTTAGTAAGTATATTGGTCTCGAGCCCTTTGCCTTGAAACTCATACGATCAAGTTGCGTAACATCTTTCTCACCATAAGCCCAAAACATCTTCATCGTATCGGCCTGTTTTAAAAATGATATCGTTATTTAATATCATGCAAGCATTTATGGAATTGTATATTTTTCTGATTGCTTACTGTAAATGGAACATCACGTGGATCGCATGTCGAAAATGATCGTTTAAATGTAAGAATTGTATGCGTTAAATTCTGATATCCTTCATTTTCCAAAATATAATTTTGTGTGTCATCTCTGACAATTACTTTTTCCTCAAATTTTGAGCTTGTTCCATGGCAGTCCTAAATGACGATAATAACAATAATGAGTTCGATTGGTAAAGAAGACATGTAAAAAGTAATTGAAGTAAATAAATATGATAAATTAATGAATAACACAGGAGACACAATTCTTTGTAAGATTTTTTTTTTGTTTTGTGAAGGAACTCGTTCCAATTATATTTTTTGCGCTTGCGAAAAAATCTCTTGTTGCAATGTCCGTTGAAAGATTGACAGTTTTTATATGATTGCGTATTGAGAATCAATTAATAGTTATTAAAAATGCCTGATGCATTTCCTTTATACCATCAGTAAACACTACAGTACACATTGTAAATTGCTGAACAGTGGGAACTTTTGTATAGACACTCTTAATAGTCTGAACTAAACTGCGTTATGAGAATGAAAAAAAAAAAACAGGGGAGATTTGTTTGGGACGTAAATTTTAAGGGTCTTAAATAGTTTTTTTTTTGCACTGGTACCGAAAAGTTCAACCTCCCCCTAATCACTGTCAGTTCACAAATCCTCCTAATGAAGAGATAATAGATCAGTTCTAAATAGACAATCATAAAGATTGTCTGACTATTTAAAATTCACTTAATGGTCATAAAACTGATTGAAGGTTTGAGATTGTCACTTAAGAAAGCGAAGTGGAATAAAAAAGCAAAAAAATTATAATGAAACGTGGTAGAACCAGATTTCATGTGCTTGCTATGCACTCCGAACATCAACAATCGAAATTGTAAGTTATTTTATTAAAGACTTTTTTTTTGCTCGAAACACTCTTCTCATTTTTTTTTAAACTTTTCAATTTATGTCTCTCCATTCCTTTCGTATCATTGAATTTACCATTCATGAAGAATGTGAGAAACTTTTTTTTTGTTCTTGCTCCTTTAGAATCGGTAAGTAAGTGAGTGAATAAGTTGAAATTACAAATCAATTCATTAAAAATTCTACCTTGGATTTAAAATTCTGATTTTCGCTTTAAAAATGTTAATTTAATCATGTTCTTTTCTAACTTCTTTATGGACTTCACATATCTCTCATATTCTCTTTCTTCTTCCTCATTCAATTTCTTTAATACCTTTCTTGATTATAATTTTCATAAGTAAGTAAGTCGTGAAATAGTTTAAAGTAGTGCTGATCTCATATTGTTACCACCAACCAACCAAATAATCATTCTATTCATCATCATCATTATGATCATCAGTATTGGTTCAGTCAGTGGCTGGCGATTAAGAACGAGAGTAGGAAAAGGAATTTAAAATTAAAAGCGAAACGCCAAAAATACGATAATCGCCTGTCTCATTTAGCATCTTTTGTTTAGAATGAAAAAGAAAGAAATATAAAAAAACAATTTGGGAAGAAATAAAATCAAGGAATGAATTCGATATAACTTGAGATAAAGAATGGACAAAAAAAAATTCACAAGATTTTTACATTTATCCACGGAAAGAAAACAAAAATTCAATTCACCAATAGTCTGGATTTATCTTATCTCTTTTATAATTTTTTTTACTCAATTTTCAAAAGAATGTTTTTGTGTCCAGATATTTCTCATTCTGCTAATATATATGCGATGTTTTGTGTTTAATTTTTTTTTTCATCTGCAAAATTCATTCTTCTCAGGGTCGTAGGCTAACATTCTTAAAGGGGGTATGCATATTCATATGAACACACAATCTATGGGGCAAATTATATTCAGGAATTTTGGCGCCATGCCAGAAATCAACTATCTTTAATTATGACTGAAATTTGGCACACCTGAATGCGCCTCTGATTCATCCTCTACAGAGAATATTTCTTATTTCACTAAAAGACCGCGTGTTCTTCTTAAGAATTCCTTTTTGTGTAAGGTACGAAAAATCGATAAAAAATTTTTATGCGATGAAAATAAAATTCACACACGAAAAAGAAAGAGAAACAATTTATTAACAGCAATCTGGATTGATCGCATAAATGCTTTTCTTATTCACTTTTTTTTCTCTGTGCTGCTTCACTTCTTCTCAAAACAGTTTATTATTGAAATACATGTACATATAATATCATATCATGTAACCCGCAAAAACCAACGAAAAGAATACAAACACGCAGCAAATTCTACCGTCTTTCTCCTTTACTTAAAAAACACAAAATTATAGTCCATCTATTATATCTTTTGTGTCGAACAAGCATGAATGATTTCATAATAATTTGACTGAAAGCAGAAAAAAATGCAACCGCTGATGATGGTCAGAGAAGAAATAAGAATGAAAATGAAATGGAAATTAAGTAAATTTTTATATTCTCCTTCTGGTTTGCTTTAAGGTGCATTTTTTTTGCTGCTGCTGTTATTGCTCGCTTTTATCCCTCTTAGCTTCGTAAATGATATACGCACATATTACATGCTACGGGGAGAAACATATAAATAAGAAAGGAGAGGAAACTCATGTAAAACGGAAATGCAGCAAGCAAAAAATGAGACGTTTTTATTTTCATGTGAAGAAGTTACTTTGTTGTTGAATGCATGGCTGATAATCATGATCATATGTCTCATTTTACATTCTCATAGATTCACTTAACATAAACAAGTACTGATGTGTGTTCCCATAATGAAATTTACCAGAATATTTGCTTTTCCTGTTTTGTCGTTCACCCATGCAAGCACAACGTCAAATCCTTTTATTTGGGTATTTGGATATGGAAATCCGATAGCCACAAAGCCTCGGCTATTTAAAATCACATTGAATATCACTTCACTATCTCTTATATACCATTGTAAATTTAATATGCCATTCTGATCTAATTTTTCACTTCGTGTCCAATTCCTGTGATGGATTTCAGGATATTTGTACGTTGTTGTGTCATCCGATGCATTAACACATAAATTTGATATTGTAATGAGAATACACAAAACTAATTCATTTAACTTCATCATTTTTGAATAGAATTTCTTATCACTTTAGAATTTCCGTCTCGCAAATATCAGCACTTCTTTTTTTTGTTATTTTTTAAGCAACAAACTATGCCGGCAAAAGATATCCATGTAACCGTTAGAGAAAAAAAAAACAATGTTACAAACGAAGCTACGTTTGCATAGAACAGATGCACGACTTCAACTGACGAGTAGAAAGGAAGAAAAACATATTTTTGACCTGAGTGAGTTAGTCCCTTTAGAAGCATATGAAGAGAATATAATAGAATGAAATAAATGACGATGAGTGTAAATGTAAGTAAACACATTTTTTTCATGCATGTACCAGCATGCTTTATGTTATATTTAATTATTCATGTTAACAATATATTCAATTAAGCCTAGAAATTTAACAAAACTTTATGAATCATTTTTAATGTAATGTAATTAATTTTTTATATTATTATAAAATACATTCACAAATTTTGAGATATTTGCATGGATAGTTTGTTGCATGTATGTTAAGTTGTAAGAGTATTAGTGGGGAGCAGATGTACAAAAGCCGATCAGACGAGAATTTTACGGTAAGTGAGACAATTGAGATGTTGAAGTGCCTTTTTATGTTGCTAATATTAAGGGGTAAAATTTTCATCTAACTTAAGAAAGGTAACCCAAATGTTTATTTAGCATTTAACCAACTTAACAATTGTCATGCATTGTCACAAATGCGAAATAAATTCATGGGAAAATAAATTCGCAAATAAATTAGCAAGTAAGAATTTTTATTTATCTTCAATTTACACCTGGATAAATAATTTCACAAAAACGACCAACATCCTTAACGAACTTTAAGATTTCAAATAAATTCCATTCATAGTTCTACTTACTTTCAATAGATAACGACACTAGTCACGAATCATTCGCATTCAAATGGAAAATTTATCTTATTTAATGCATATCTTTGTCAAGCTATTATCTAAGCTTCTTCCAATTAGAATATTTGTGTCGTCGTAACAGAAATTTCAAATGACTCAATCGTTCTAATTACTATTCATGCATGCATCCATGCATGTATTCAAAACAATGTGAATAAAGAGAATAAGAATGCGCAGTTGAATAGAAATGAAATAAAAGGAAATGATTAAATGATTTTTATCTATAGATTCTTCTCAGAACATTATGTTGGAAGCAGAGGAGATAATTCGGTTAATTCATTATTTATAAGATCTGAAGAATCATAAAGAATATTTAAAGATGAGATTCAGATCGAAAAGATTTGATGAACATTTGCAAAATGCCACGTCAGACGAAATCAAAGGTTTAAATTTTCCGCTGCAGATGTCATGTGATTCGCTGTACTTTGATCCATTTTGCGCTGTATTTATGCACGAGTTCACATCAGTCATTCGGATGTTAGGTAATGTTTTAAGGAAGACGATCAAAGGGTGGTTTTTGTAGCACTAGTTGTGAGTAAGCCCAAAACGACTATTTTGCATTGCATAACGAGCTGAATGATACACGATATCATGACTATATGAAGATGAACATAATATGGAGAGAAAGTAATAGACAGAAAGTTTAAGTGGATCTACCATAAACATTTAATGATTCTTTTTATTGTTTATTTAAATTAATTCACGTTTCATATAAGTTTTCTTGCTTGTTGCATTTTGTAGATTTTTCATCTGTTTGAGAAAAGGTACAATATTTGTTGCTTGTTTTTTCTTTATAATCTTATTATCAGTATTATATCATAATTAAACACGTGCGCTCAAAATACACATAAAACATATTATCATCATTTATGAAACATCCAGGATTTTTAAATAAGAGAAACAAAATCAACTAAGTCCATAAAATATTACATTTTTTTTTTCTTTGTTGAAGCATAATGGGGCATAATGTGATAAGAAGAAATAAAGGAAATGAAATCAATGATATAGGTTTCTCGTCTTTCTAAAAGAAAATTATAATGCCTCTTTGTTTACATTCATACTTCACAATTTTTTTTTATCATTTCTGTTCATTAAAATCTAGTTTTTAAATATATTTTATACTTCATTCTCATACGATAATAGATAATTTTTTATAATTTGATTCATTCACGAAGAAAAATTATTCATTTTAATTTTATATTTTTTGAACACATCCTTTTTTTTTGCTTATTTTCTATAATAATTTTTTTACATTTTTTTGGGGTCGAGATTTTTGTTTTTAAAACGAGTTAATAATAATATAAAATCATATTAAAAATATAATGTAAGAGAAATCAAATAAAAGACAAGACTTTTTTTTTCAATAATTCCTTTTCTTCAGCTTGCGAGAGCAGAGTGACATAAATTGTGATGTTGTTTAATTTTTGCGACTCATTGTGCGGCTTGATGGCTGATTAATTGTATGAAGATTCTTTTTATAAGAATTGCGAACTGCTTTGTTATTGCGATCGAAGAATGAACGACTTATAGCCAAGCTACGCTGTTCTGATGGCTTTCCAGTGACTGCATTGGTAGTCTTTGTAACAAGAACTAGAGCAACACTTCTTTGCGTTCCATTGTTTGGTCGAGTCTTCGATTTTTTGCTTCCCTTATTGCGCTTATTGCCTTTGCTGACAATTATCTATAACCAGACAGAAAGAAATAAAAGTTTTTTTTATTGACTATCTTTGTCGTGTCTCGTATCATGCGTAAATTCCTTCTTCTTTTCTTTCTTTTATGAAAAATGAAAAAAACAATATTTACAAATAAATAAACACTTCTACTTACTGCGTCATCATTATCAACTCCACTTGATAATTCCAATACAACGAGATCCTCAATATCATCGCTATTAAATCCAGTCAATGGTCTGCGATGAATATTATGATAAACACTCATCGACGGATGTTCAATGAGTAAATTTTCGATTGGTGATGTTTCAAGCTGAATTGATGCAGATGAGAAGCAAGATGGTGGTGTCAAGAACCATGATTCATCCATAGTGTTTGGGTAAAGGGACGGTAAATTTGCTGATAGCAAGCAGTTTTCATCATTTTCTCTTACGGTGCTCAAATGCGATAAAATACTTTTAAAAGGTACCAGTTGTAAGTTATTATTACTTAATTCCTTATCAGACAAATGATTCTCCTCAGCTGATGGAGATAACAATGACGGATGTTGAGTTTCAGTTTCCACGAAAAGCCAATCCTTGTCTTCGTCCAACAAAACAACTCTTACATTCCCATCAAACTCACTCAAAAAATTTTCCTTGTCAATTACGTCAATATCTTGTTGCTGATTATTTTCGTTATTTTCAGTGTTTACGTCAGAATCTAAAATATTATTCTCTTTACTTTTTCCAAATAGCGTAGAGAAGAGACCGTTGAACATTATACAACCCTTGGAGGTCGCGAAGATTTTAAAATAATAAAATTTATCCGCGTGTGTATTACAAAAATATTTCAATAATTTATTTTTCTACTTTTAAAATCGCTCGACTTAAGTTGCTTTCTGTACCGGGACACGAGTTTGCTAATTGATAGATTCTGAAATTAAAATAAAATAAAACATTTGTTCACGTTTCAATTTTCATTCTGTATAAAGAGAAACAAGTATCTGTACGCTTGTGGGCGATCAACAAGAGTGCATTTCTGACTGCCCTGACCTGTTGATTATTTTAACGATTTCATAATGAGAATGAGTTCTTTTAATGCCTAATTAACGCTCGAAATTCGGGTTACATGATTTTTGAATTGGGGTCATTTTTTATTAAGTCCAGAAATGATAGCAGTGACACTACTTGAATTTTATTTTTCAAGAAGATTGCGTTGCTAAGATGCGTGGGTGGGTCGAATAAAGTTCAGCTTTTGTGTTCCTCAATATATGAACAGTCCCACTGACTCTAGTAAAATTTATAACAAAGGAAATGTCATCTGAACTGCCATTGAACAAAACAAACTGATTGCAAGTGAATGCAATTAGCTAAGGAAGCAGGTTTCAGTTTAAAAATATGAGATTGAAGATGATGACTTTTTGTGAGAGTTGTGTAATAATTTGGCAGCAATTCGCGAACAGAAATAAAGCAGAACTGAATCTACATTTTGCTACATTTTCAAAGCTAAATAAGCTTGATTGTATTTTCAATTTCTATATCATATCGCAATGATAATCTCATGTTTATAAATATAGAGGAAAGGAACTCCATTGAACTTGAAAAAAGACGCTATCGAATAAAATTAAGACGAAGATATATTTTGGGAAAATGAAAACCAAAATATTTCACAAATACGCGTATGCTTTGTTTACGATAACGTACAGCACAACAAAACATAACACAAATAAAAAGTTTTTTTGGTGCATGTCCATAGTCCACCTTTATTCTTCTTCTTTTATGTTATTATTTTTTTCTATTCAATAACAGCCGACATGTTAAAAAAACGAAGAAAAAAAATTTATTTGTGCCTTGCAGCACACAAAAAGAAAAGAACCTGATTCCAAGGTTAAAAATGAAGCAGACTAAAAATAGAAAAAGAATCCTTAATGTGTTTGTAAACATACAATGGAATATATACAAAAAAAGCAATAATTCCAATTGCCTTCTGGAATTTACATTAGCAGCTCTCGATTTATGTGCTTAGATAGTGAAAAATAAAAATCAATAATCCCCCCTGACTATAATTTTAAATAGCTTCGATTTTTGAAACAAAATGCAATGTCAGTGCATATTTAGCATTCAATTTTGAAATGTAACTGCGTAATAATTTTTGTTTGGGAGCATTAACTGTTCATCAGCTGTTGCAAGTATGATCGAGCAGAGAAAAAAAAATTTATATGTGTGAGTTATTCAATAACTCAATAGCGTTCTTCGCATACATTAACAGACGCTTTATTTTTTGTTTATATACAGATGATTTTTCTACTTCTTATTCATTATTTCTATTTTTCTTTCATTTCTTTTTTTCCATTTCAATTTTTAACTCTTTTGCACTCAAATGAAAATAATTTTTCTTTCTTTACTTCTTTTCTTCAAGATTTCACGAACTTTGTGCCACTTGCTACCAGTCAGTTATGATGATTTGTACAATAGGCAACAGAATAAAGGGATATGGTTTGGCATAATAGAGCGAAAAAAAATCGTTAAAATTCAACAAAATATTTTGTCGATTGCGAAATTCAAGATAAATTAAGTTTTAAGGCCATTGAAGGGCTTGGGAAGTACTTTGTTTGATTTTACTTACATTAATATTAATTATCACAGCAAATAATTGCTTAATATGCGTTTAATAAAAATTTAATTTCACAAAAAAATGGCGACTGTTTGGAAAAGTTTGGGAAAATTTTTTCTTCTTTTATTTTATTATTTTTCCTTTTACGATTCTGTGCACTCACAACAACAACATAACACTGACTGATTTTGAACACAGAATTTCCACTTTATGTGTTGCCCTTGTAGAGTATCATTTGAAGTGAAGCGTTGCACAATGACGTATCAGCCTTATTTCTAGCTTTATGATTTGAATTTTTCATTGCCGTTACACATCAAACTACTTTACAGAAATAAGTTATCAATATTCTATTTTATGGTTTTATCCCTCCGGTTATTTTAAGAGCTATGGGACTTCAAATGCATAAAAAATATAGTTCAATCATAACAGAAGATTTTATGTATGCAAACTAAAGCTTTATAGAATAGAAATATAGAAACAAAGAGACTACGGAGAAGGAGGAAGAAGAAGAATTAAGGGTCGCATCTAACTTTATTATTATTAGATTTTCCATAAATTTAGCTTTATCATATATCGCATGAAGTAGCGTATGTATGGATATGTCTGCAGGAAAAAAAAAACGATAGAAAATTTTAAGACAAAAGAAACACTCGTTAATTTTATGCCTTAATATATATACAACACGAATTACATAGAAAATATTTTCAAAATGCCTAAAGGTATGCAAAATAGCAAGCCTGAATCGAGAGCTTTTTTGTAATGTTTCAGTAGACAATAATGAAACTTAGTTTGCTATTTTAAGCACATATACTCAACCTTGCACATGTATATCTTTTCATTTAAATGAATAAAGTATTATGATCCTTTAAAAACATTCTTCTAGAAAGATTTTAATCTTCTGAATAGCAAATCTTATGCCTTTTCATATTTATCTCAATCTCTTTAATGGAAATGATGAAATCTTTTGTATCTCAATTTCCTCACCAGATATACACTACACACATATATATATTAGTCATTTTTAATCTCAACAGAGGCACACCACATATGCTCATTTAAACATGCAAATATATATGTGATGAAAAATAGAAAGGATACTAAAGGCAATTAAAAATGGATTAAAAAGATTCCTTACCATAAAAGTTTATATCATACCGTAATCAACTTGAAATTGAGTTTTTATTTTGTATCTAGCGTCTATCGTCTCTCTATGATTTACCTACTGGCTAAATGTGGAAGTCTATAGAGATATTATCAGTTACTTTACATGCCATTTTTGAATGACATTATTAGAATTTTTCAATTGATAAACTGCGTAGTACAGCTTGGGATAATCGAAGATTTATTCAATTTAATCACTGATCTCCAAGTGACAAGAAAAGAAACTTGCATTTTTGAGTCTTCAGTGCAAATGAAAAACAGAAATTAAAATCTTTTAGCTTTGCACTTGTTAGGGAATCACATCTGTACACATTCAATACCTTCCATGAAGTGATCCAGAGAAGAGTTTACCATGAAGATATGAGTATGTGCATTCAATGTTGGGTGAAAAATGGAAATAGATTTAAAGGATATGCATTGTACAAAAGAGTTGAATTAAAAAAATTTATTCTATTGAAACATTGAAATAACTTTTTATTCCTTCTTTTTTCACATGTGGAAATGCAGCTGAAAGCCTTTTAGTATTCTTTTTTCATACGATTCACCGATAACTCTCTGTCAAGCTATATCTCTCAAATCTCATATGTATGAATGTGCTATTTTGGGTGAATTGTGAGTATGCTATCTTGCTAACATTGATAGCTTCATAGACACAAATGTGTAGATAAATTGTCAGCATCATCCGGACGCGAATAGCATATAGAAAAAAAATTTATAAAATGATGGAAAAAGAAATATCAATTGCAGTCGATTTTCTGACACCCACTTATGTATGCATCTAACTCTGAATACTCAAACTATGGTTTAAATTGAATAACAAATATAAAATAGCTTTTCAGAAGTCTAACGAGACGAGAATCGGCGATAACATACAAAGTTTAACATGAAAATCCATGTATGTCATCGCCACTCAGCCAGTACATTTGGAGAAGGAAAAAAAAATTCTTCTCTTGTGTCATTGCTTAAACGACAGCTTTCACCATCCTAAAATTTATGGCATTAAAACATTTCCATCAAAATATAAATAAAAAAAAAATCCTTTTCTTTTTCTCACTCTCTCCTACGAGTCTTGACTTTTATAATATAAATCATTGAATGCGAATGTCAAGTATTGTTGGAAAAAAGATGAAAGAAGAAAGTGATAGAACGAGAAGTTGTTGAGGAAGGAAAAATTGGTTAAGAAAGTAGTAATTTATTTTAGAGCAAGTTGTAACATAAATTTAAGCTTTTTTATAGCCATGATTTCTCTTTTTTCCTTCTCTTTCTCTCTGTCTGATGAGTTGATATATATACACAGAACTTAAAGATTTTCTAATGGACTATTTTCGCCTTTTGTTGTTTTCTATTTCTTAGTTCTTGTTCTTATTATTTTTTGATTCAGTCTTTTTATCTCCATCCAATTGAAAGAAATGAAATTCGTTGATAAATCCACATTCCATTTCCTCTTATGTCTCCCTTTTGACATAGAAATCTAATCTATAATGTAATAATTTACTGAGAACTTGATTGTCACAGGACATGTTTGAACAAAATGGAATGGAATGGAGAGCAAATTCTGTACAATTTGTTAAACTGATTGTGAGCAGTTGAACTTTTGGATGTTTTTAGTGAAATTTCTTATTTATAATGTATGTAGGCATGGATATTATTACTATCGTAATCATTCCACAAGTAACTATGATACAGTGGCAAGTGAACAGCATAATGATAGGGAAAGTTCTAAATAATAAGTATGGGTTGACTGGATGTTAAGTATTGCTAGGTTGATGTTTATATGCTCAAAAAACTGTAGAGAATGATCGGTAACATCACAAAACATCCAAACAGAACCCAATAAAAGAACGATGGAAAATATATCACAGCTAATGCCTTATCTTCTTCGTATGATTGCGTCCTTTCAATCAAAATCAATAAAGACGAGAAGAAGAGTGATACAATTCTGTTATAGACTGTCATAGGAATGAAAGTTTTATGATTTCATTCTCCTTTCCTTTCTTCTCTTTTGTAATCGTTTAACGTTCACAATGACGCATTAACTACCATCATCATAACTTGGTATAATAATAATAATCATCATTTTCATTGCGAAAAATCCGTATAGCTATAAGAAAAAATATTAAAGTTACCGCATAAAGATCTAAAGGGGTTTTATCGGTCAGAGATAAGTACGACATTTTTTTTTTCTGCTCAATTTTTTTAATGGATGGATGAATGGATTCATGAAAAATAGATAACTTTAATTTAAAGCCACATTTGATGGATCGAACAGATGGTTAACACAAAAAAATGCCACAAGTTTTTCTCTAACTTGATAAAAAAAAATTGAACGATGAAAACCAGACATATCGATATCGTTGCATGTATATATGATATATTTATTTTATTTTTTGTTGGAAATGTTGAAAGAAAAGACACATCTGAAAGCCCCATAACAATACGCGACGACTTATGGAATGAATTAAACCGTAATCCCTCGAAGGACTTTTATGACAAGATATAAATATATAAATATATAGCTTGATACGTTTACATACGCATATCTATTTCATCTCCCATAAAATTACTTTTACGTAGAAATTTAAGGTTTAATTTATGACCATATCGCATTTCTGCTTTCTGGTTGCATTAAAATGATAATTCCGTAAATCACATGCCTCTAAATTATCCTCGAAACATTAACTTTTGGTAATTGGTCTAAATTATTATTATCGAAGAGTAGAGGTTGAAAAGTGAGACATGCCATCATGTTTTAAAACCACCGAGCAGCGTCGGTGGCTTGTAAATGTAATTATTTTAGCTATTTTATTGCAATTTATTATTCGTTCCTTTTTCACTGTAACTATGAACTGCCTGACGCTAAAATTGTGCTTTACTATCTATACCATCTCTGCCTTTATATCTCTAATATAATGTCGTTTGCTAAAATTTATTATCTGTCAGCAAAATTTTATTTTTCGTGAGAACACTAAATCTATCTATTATTATCCCTATCTATCTAAATATCTCTATATAAGATCAGTATGATGCTTTCAGAGCAATTCCTTGGGATAACGTAATCGCTTTGCATTTGTTATTTTTCTTTTATTCTCAATTTTTTTACCATTCTTTACTACAATTCCTTCTTTATTATTCTTCTCTACTTATGTCTCATGCTTCCGTGGAGTTTGTAGCTTTTTATAAACGATTTTTATTGTATTTCCTTTACGATGTTATTATAATGAAAATTTGTAACAATTATTAAGCTGTCATAGTTATGGGAAATGGTCTAAAGTTTATGAATAATAATTAACTAGATGTTATGAGACAAAATTCTCTGGTGGTCCTATAACGCTCTATGAAATTAAGGTATATGACGTGATTAATTATAATTTAACTTCACCACAATATGTTGACTCATTTTTCAATGGCTTGCCTAAGGCACTGATTCCGCATTATTTCCACGTCTATCATATAAACAGTTCAACTATTTGGGGTGTTTTAATTTAATTTATGTTTTGCTTTTCAATGGCGCAAAGCTCTCGTTTGGTTAACAATTTTGATTTAATCTTTGTTTGTTCTTACAAAACTTTTGAGAATGTGCGGGAAATGGTTTAAGGTTATGTGCGTTTATAATGTCTACCATGTTGAGTTGTCTCAAAATATGTTTATGCATGATAATTTGCTAAAGGAAAGCTCTAGTTTTTCTCTAGAGTGCTGGACGTCATTTGTGAATGACGTCTTTTTATGTCACAAGCTTTCAATGACAAATGAGTTACATTTATATAAAATGGTTTTTCATTAATTCAAATTTTCACCTTCTCACATCTTCGGTTGTCATTTCTATTGTCTACCTTCACAGAATCATGAGGAACAATAAAATAAATTTTACCACTTTGACCCTCTCGCACCTTAAGTTGATGATATAATTTTATAGAGGTGATTATAGTTTCATATACTATCATAAATTTATTTATAAGGTGTGCATTTGATTTAGATAGCGAATTTTGGGTGTTGGAATGATCAATAATAGAACTGACCATCCATAAAAAAACTCACACTCCAATAAATATTTTATCGAA